CTGTGTGTGTGTGTGTGTGTGTGTGTGTGTGTGTGTGTGTGTGTGTGTGTGTAAGTAGAAAACATGTTGACTCACCCTACTTGTAGAGAAACGCCAATGCCGTCCTCCTCTTTCATGTTGCCTAAACATCATACAGTACACGCTTTTAGTTTTTGTTATCCTAGGCTACCTGGCTAAAATGCTTGCTCGCTAGCCTAACTTCCTTTCATGGGCAACGATGCACCAGCTAGTTAACATTAGCATACTACATCTAGCTACATATTGAAATTCCATCCTCTCAGGCCAGGGGCACAATGTCTGAATTTATGGTTGGATCAGAATTGCTGTTATAATCCTTGGCCAGATTCCTATCTCCATCCATGGATAATTTAGGAAAGGGACAATTTTAGCTAGCTAGCTAGCTAGCCACTGGAGGACAACAACACAATGAGATGCCACAATTCAAGTTTTTTTCTGTCAATGATGTTTGGCGTCTGAGGTGATGTGATTGGTCTGAAGCCAAATCCAAACACTTTTTTTTGGGGTGCCAGGACCATTCACAGCTGAGCTCACTCAGTTTAGCGCAACGCTGATTGGCTATTATTACATTTTTTTAATCAAGGGAGGCCAAATGCTCACTGGCTTCCCTTGCATTCAAAGCAAAAGGCGGCAACAATGTAATTCTCCTTTTGACCAGACAGCGTCAGATAGATATGCTACACATACTGAGATAGAGGGTCGCTGTTTCGTTCTGTCGGATGCATTCTCCGGTGAGATACATTCAGCCTCTTGTGAATTGAAGGAAATGTATGAAACACAGAGAGACGAAAGATACATTATTTAGTTTCATTTTTTCTTTGTAAATGTTTTGGGGAAGCCTGGCTTCCCTTGGCATCCATCAATACACACCACTGGTTGATTGAAAGAGGAACGAGGTCCACACTCCTGCCCAGTTGGTGACGGTAATGCACCTTAAAGTTGGTTGCCAAACGACATAAAATCCACAGAAGATGTAGATGAACGAGGAGAGATTTATGAAAGAAAACGAACTAAAAACAAACCAGGTTTCCCTTTTTAATCTGTGTATTAATTGTTGGAGTAGAGAACACACCATTTTTTATGACTCAACATGGGTCAAAAGGACCATATGCATTTCAGGTAAAATAACAACCCAATTATAAAATACACTGTCCGTAAAATGTATATAGTAGGTATAAGCTGGAAATAGAAGCCTAAGTGTAGTTGTCTATTAGTTTACTCCAATTAGGGGAGGGGTGGTAGGGTTAGGTGAAAATAATAAAGGAAAATATCTATATACACACTACCAGTCAAAAGTTTGGACACACCTACTCATTCAAGGGTTTTTCTTTATTTTTACATTGTAGAATAATAGTGAAGACATCAAAACTATGAAATAACACATTTGGAATCATGTAGTAACCACAAAAGTGTTAAACAAATCAAAATATATTTTATATTTGAGATTCCTCAAATAGCCACCCTTTGCCTTGACGACATCTTTGCACACTCTTGGCATTCTCTCAACCAGCTTCATGAGGTAGTCACCTGGAATGCATTTCAATTAACAGGTGTGCCTTCTTAAAAGTTAATTTGTGGAATTTCTTTCCTTCTTAATGCGTTTGAGCCAATCCGTTGTGTTGCTACAAGGTAGGGGGGGTATACAGAAGATAGCCCTATTTGGTAAAAGACCAAGTCCATATTATGGCAAGAACAGCTCAAATAAGCAAAGAGAAACGACAGTCCATCATTACTTTAAGACATGAAGGTCAGTCAATACGGAACATTTCAAGAACTTTGAAAGTTTCTTCAAGTGCTGTCGCAAAAACCATCAAGCGCTATGATGAAACTGGCTCTCATGAGGACCGCCACAGGAATGGAAGACCCAGAGTTACCTCTGCTGCAGAGGATAAGTTCATTAGAGTTACCAGCGTCAGAAATTGCAGCCCAAATAAATGCTTCACAGAGTTCAAGTCACAGACACATCTCAACATCAACTGTTCAGAGGGGACTGTGTGAATCAGGCCTTCATGGTCGAATTGCTGCAAAGAAACCACTACTAAAGGACACCAATAATAAGAAGAAACCTGCTTGGTCCAAGAAACACGAGCAATGGACATTAGACCGGTGGAAATGTGTCCTTTGGTCTGGAGTCCAAATTTGAGATTTTTGGTTCCAACCGCCATCCCATCTGGTTTCAGATTAGTGGGACTACAATTTGTTTTTCAACAGGACAATGACCCAACACACCTCCAGGCTGTGTAAGGGCTATTTTACCAAGAAGGAGAGTGATGGAGTGCTGCATCAGATGACCTGGCCTCCACAATCTCACAACCTCAACCCAATTGAGATGGTTTGGGATGAGTCAGACGGCAGCGTGAAGGAGAAGCAGCCAACAAGTGCTCAGCATATGTGGGAACTCCTTCAAGACTGTTGGAAAAGCATTCCAGGTGAAGCTGGTTGAGAGAATGCCAATAGTGTGCAAAGCTGTCATAGAGGCAAAGTGTGGCTATTTGAACAATCTCAAATATAAAATATATTTTGATTTCTTTAAAACTTTTTTGGTTACTACATGATTCCATGTGTTATTTCATAGTGTTGATGTCTTCACTATTATTCTACAATGTAGAAAATAGTAAAAATAAAGAAAAACCCTTGAATGAGTAGGTGTGTCCAAACCTTTGACTGGTACTGTGTGTGTGTGTGTGTGTGTATATATATATATATATATATATATATATATATATATATACACACAAAAATATATGGGGGTTTGGAAATGCAAACAATTACATTGATGGAAACTACAATCTATCTGCAATATTAAAGCTGATCTACCCCCCACCCCCCCAAAAAATAAGAACGTTTATTTTCAAGGACAAATTAGCTAGCAACAGCAAGCTAGCTAAATGTCCATGAATGTTTAAATGTGATTCAACCTGTCCCCAAATTAATATACAGTGGGGAAAAAAAGTATTTAGTCAGCCACCAATTGTGCAAGTTCTCCCACTTAAAAAGATGAGAGGCCTGTAATTTTCATCATAGGTACACGTCAACTATGACAGACAAATTGAGATTTTTTTTTCTCCAGAAAATCACATTGTAGGATTTTTTATGAATTTATTTGCAAATTATGGTGGAAAATAAGTATTTGGTCACCTACAAACAAGCAAGATTTCTGGCTCTCACAGACCTGTAGCTTCTTCTTTAAGAGGCTCCTCTGTCCTCCACTCGTTACCTGTATTAATGGCACCTGTTTGAACTTGTTATCAGTATAAAAGACACCTGTCCACAACCTCAAACAGTCACACTCCAAACTCCACTATGGCCAAGACCAAAGAGCTGTCAAAGGACACCAGAAACAAAATTGTAGACCTGCACCAGGCTGGGAAGACTGAATCTGCAATAGGTAAGCAGCTTGGTTTGAAGAAATCAACTGTGGGAGCAATTATTAGGAAATGGAAGACATACAAGACCACTGATAATCTCCCTCGATCTGGGGCTCCACGCAAGAGCTCACCCCGTGGGGTCAAAATGATCACAAGAACGGTGAGCAAAAATCCCAGAACCACACGGGGGGACCTAGTGAATGACCTGCAGAGAGCTGGGACCAAAGTAACAAAGCCTACCATCAGTAACACACTACGCCGCCAGGGACTCAAATCCTGCAGTGCCAGACGTGTCCCCTTGCTTAAGCCAGTACATGTCCAGGCCCGTCTGAAGTTTGCTAGAGTGCATTTGGATGATCCAGAAGAGGATTGGGAGAATGTCAGATGAAACCAAAATATAACTTTTTGGTAAAAACTCAACTCGTCGTGTTTGGAGGACAAAGAATGCTGAGTTGCATCCAAAGAACACCATACCTACTGTGAAGCATGGGGGTGGAAACATCATGCTTTGGGGCTGTTTTTCTGCAAAGGGACCAGGACGACTGATCCGTGTAAAGGAAAGAATGAATGGGGCCATGTATCGTGAGATTTTAAGTGAAAACCTCCTTCCATCAGCAAGGGCATTGAAGATGAAACGTGGCTGGGTCTTTCAGCATGACAATGATCCCAAACACACAGCCCGGGCAACGAAGGAGTGGCTTAGTAAGAAGCATTTCAAGGTCCTGGAGTCTCCAGATCTCAACCCCATAGAAAATCTTTGGAGGGAGTTGAAAGTCCGTGTTGCCCAGTGACAGCCCCAAAACATCACTGCTCTAGAGGAGATCTGCATGGAGGAATGGGCCAAAATACCAGCAACAGTTTGTGAAAACCTTGTGAAGATTTACAGAAAACGTTTGACCTGTGTCATTGCCAACAAAAGGAAATATAACAAAGTATTGAGAAACTTTTGTTATTGACCAAATACTTATTTTCCACCATAATTTGCAAATAAATTCATAAAAAATCCTACAATGTGATTTTCTGGATTTTTTTTCTCATTTTGTCTGTCATAGTTGACGTGTACCTATGATGAAAATTACAGGCCTCTCATCTTTTTAATTGGGAGAACTTGCACAATTGGTGGCTGACTAAATACTTTTTTCCCCCACTGTAGTTGGTAAACAGTTGGTTTTGGTATTTGAAGCTGCGTGTCATGAACACGTCTGGTGGGGATAGACAAAATCAACATGCGCACGTGCAGAGCCGGTCTTTTCAGCATGTTAGGGTTAGCTTCGGTCTAAACATTTTACAATAAACTACAGGAGCATTCATCAGTGTAATGTTCTCCATCTTAATTTCATTTATTTTTTGTACCCAGCACCTGCAAGTTATTGGATGTGCGTTCACTATATTTGTGTTAGGACCAAACCTAGTGAGAGTGAGTGTTGCCTTCACGTCATCATTCATAGGAGGATCTGATCCAGCTTGAGCCAAACAGATTAATGGACCTGTTTTTTTGCTTTTCTGGGAAAATAATGGCTAGCACACTCCTTTTAGAAAATGATGTGTTTCCAGTCTGTCAAACAGCCATGGTAGAGCTCATTAGGGCCCACAGCAAGGCTGTAAAGTGTGTGTTCAGAGGAAGCCATTGTTAGTGCCATCATAGCCTCTCATCATATCTGCTTTACAGCTCTGAATTATCTCCCTGAGTTTGCTAACCTGCCTCGAACATGGAAGCTGAAATGATCAGTTGACACACAGACACGCACATGGCAGGCCACGTGCAGCTTGTCTGTCAGAGGGGCCAGGAGGTGTGGGCCGCTGGCACGCCACGCTGAGCATCTTTCTCCTCCTCCCACGCGCCTGTCACTGCGCTCCGTTCCCCACCACTGAACAGCACAGCAGCAGCCAGGCCACTACACACGCTACAGTACAGCTCAAGTGAACACAAGGCAGAGAAATGCCCATCCATGGTTGTCTAAATCTTCCCTAATTGGCCAACTGTGTGTAGCCATCTTGAAGCCTTTGCCGATCTCAGCTACATGTTGAGGAACGATGACTGGGGTTGAGCAGTACATAGCTGAGATAACCAGCAGCACTTCTGAAAAGGAGGAAGTTAATAAACCGGTCTGATTCTACATCACTGGAAGCTGGGCGACACACATACGCTTCCCTACATCACTGGGAGGGGCAGGGTGGGAAATCAATAGATTCTGTGGCTTCGCGTGCCGAGGACCCTATACAACAGCAGATAAATGTTCTTCTCCATTTCTCTCTCTCTCCCTCCCTCTACAAACTCCCACGTGCCTTTTCAAATCCCTGTCATCCCAGCCCCAGCATGCGCCCGCCTGCTGCTGTTGCTTGGCAACCCACAGTCTCGCTCCCTTTCTGCGAAGGCAGACGCTCTCGACATCCGACCGCTCGGCTTGGAAGAGAAGTCCTCATGAAACACAACACGTAATCATATTGAGTAACACAGCTCCCAAAAAAGATACGTGTTGCTATGGTGATCCCAGTCTAGCTCTTTCTCTGCTGTAAGTGGTTACTAGAGTGTAGGCAGCAGTGAGCGGTAGATCGGGTTGGCTGGGAAGGGAAGCAGGCTCAGCTCAGGATCGTTGCAAGACTTTTAGGACAGCCATTCTTTTCAAGCTAACGTGTCGACATCTAGTATAGGATGGAGGGGGGGGGGGGGGACTGTCAAATGAACAGTGGGGGGTTCGCACCAATCCACTCAGCCACTTAACTTCCTGGATAGTGACCTCCTTCAGGTTTCTGATAGCATAAAATGAAACATGGGCTGTATCTTTTGATCTAAAATTAGATGGCAGTCATCAAATCATAGGTCAGGCAATTATCAGAATGGGTAATTAATGTCAGTGAAGAGGCCGGGTGAGGGTGTGCATTAATAAGTTGAAGGACAGAATCTTCAAGAAAGAGATATTTGGGTTATCAAACCTGTCCTATTCTAATGTAATACAATTCCCGCACAACAGACAGATCACAAGACAGATCCGCACGCACTCACCATGCACGCACACATAAAGGAAAGGGAGGGAGTTAAAAAGGTTAAGTTCATGGTCTTTTATTGGAAAAAAAAAAAATTAAAAGACTAGCATGTACAACTTGGAATGAACTAAACTGAACTCAAGATTTACAGTCTAGAGAAGACTCTGGTGTTGAAGACCCTAGGATGCGCTGTAGATCGATCAAAACCCACACGCAACCATGGTCAGAGTCGAGAAACAGAAGATAAAAACATTGACGGTACAACCGTGTTCCCTTGCCAAAAATACTTCTCCAAGCAGGTAAAAAGAGTCCAGAACAACCCGACTCTCCAGCTCGCCTCCAACCCCCTCGAATCATACCCAAAGTTCAACGCACAACAAGGAAACAGAAATCCAAATATTCCCAACATGCCAAACATAGTTCTAAAATGATTAATTTTTTTAAATGATAATTTTCTTAAAAATATCTATTTTTGTAATTAATTACGCAAACTGCAAAGGTCCCATTCATTTGATCTCTATGCGAGTTTAGTATGACCACCCCCCCCACCCACCCATCTCTTCTGAGCTCTTTTCTCTCAATATAGACTGTACCAAAACCCTACGGCGGTACCCTCGACACCGCTGTGGAATCAGAGTGAGCCCATTGGCTGGCTAGACTGCGGCGCCAGTCTCAAGCTGCATGCATGAAGAACAGAAACAGGAAAAGAAAAGACGATTGGCCAGCCCAAACATTACCACTAGCAACTGGAACCAATAAGCAGTTCGCCAAGTGCTTTCTTTAGTTGTTGACGGTTTTGTTTACAGGTATTATTTCTGTTATTACTGATGTCTAACTCATCTTTGGGGACAGGACCACTAACCAGTACATGCAGATAATGTTTTTTTATTTTATTTATTTTTTTACTTTTATGTGGACAGATTTTTTCATTTTTCAACATTCAGTTATGTTTTCTATACAGAAACAGTATGAATAAATGTATATTTTTGCAAGAGGTAAGTAAAACATTTGACTGATTTTTTTTGTCTTCTAAGGTCAGGAGAAGGGTAGGGGAGCTTCATTTTGCTGTCATCATTTGTACAAATTCTGTGGACAAAAGAACAAAAAAAATAACAGACATTAGGAGAATGAAGAGAAAACAACCAACCACTGATCAAGGCAGCAATTTCATTTGTCAGATCCAGACAATCAAATAAAAAACATGTCCGTCAAAGACAAATCCAGACATGACAGAAAATAATACAATTAAATTAAACTCATTCTCATGAAAACTGTTTATGTAAGCTCAATATCCTATTACAGAGAGACGGACCAATTACATAAAGGGATCAGGATGAGAGAAAGGGATGAGAGAACAGGTGGATCGGGCAGGAAAAGGATGAGAGGTAGTGAAGAGGGGATCAGGATGGTAAAAAGGATGAGAGAAGAGGGGGATGAGAGAGGTAGAGAGTGGAGAGAAGAGGGGCATCGGGTAGTAGAAAGGGATGAGAGAAGAGCGGAATTGGAGCTGTAGAAAGGGATGAGGGGAGCGGCAGAAACCCAAGACTGGCTGTACTGTAGCATGGTGAGTATGAGCGAGTTGGTGACAGCTCTACTGACTACAGGCCCCTATAGGGACACTGCTGAGATCTACTGTACACTCCTACAAAGCAGAACGAAAGAGAAAGAGTTAGACAGTTCCACTGTCCTCTTCTTACCTTCATAGTTGACCTGTCCATCTCCGTCAATGTCGGCTTCTCTGATCATCTCATCGACCTCCTCGTCTGTTAACTTCTCTCCCAGGTTTGTCATGACGTGACGGAGCTCTGCTGCACTGATGTAGCCGTTCCCATCCTGCAAGGGAGAGGAGGTGAGCTGGGCGAGACATCACAACAAACAAACCTGCCTTTCCCAAAGGGACTTTACCATACTTATGTAATGTATGTTTGCAGTAAGCTTACTCTAGGACTGACATGCATTCTACGTGTCACGGTACACTAGTGTGAACATTGGAACAAAGCCATGATTGTCTTTTTACAAAGGGACTGTACTTTGTAACTGTATGCAGGAAGAGCAACCATAAAGGATATCACTGATCATTAGGGCTGACCCCATTTAGTCGTCTGGTCGATTGGTTGGTCGACCGAGATTTCTTTAGTCGAGCAGTTGCACAAAGAAAATAATCAAATAATGGTGTACAAGACACGTATCTGATTCAAGCCTGTCTGAGTGGACTGATCCATTGTGGATGCCGTTGGGATGGCACAGTCCATCAGTCTAAGACATTGTATATGGTTATATTATGTAAGAACAATGGTGCAACAAATAAAATAAGTATTATTTTATAACAAATGCGCTTTCTCCTGCTTTGGATAGTGGTCACTGTCCACGGTTCTGAAACATAAGTGCGCTGTTGAATTGGCCCTTTTCCTAAACCATGTTGCTATGTGCATAATAGCAAAGTTAACCAGCATATTGGTGTTGAGAACAATGCAGCGGAGGAGGCAGCAGAGTTAGGAGACAAGAAAACAGCCCTTGCCTTAATTGTCAAAGAAAATGTATTAGGTCTAGAAATCAATAGCCTAACTGTTAAATGTGCCTGGCTTTAGGCTTAGAAGGGCAGACTTGTATAACCACCATTGAGCTGTAGGCCTAAGAGTGCATCCTGTTTAGTCTTAATACCGTAACTTACTTAGGTCTATATTGCATTACTTATATAGGCTACTGTATCAATCATTCATTCGTTCATGTCATCACACTGCATACGAGTCATTCATGATTTGAAATGAAATGAAGCATTTTTGTTTAAAAATAAAGTGAGACTTTAACAATTAGCTTAAATAAATACAATTGTATAATAACATTTCTGAAAATTGCAGAAATTGCATTCACAAATAAATGAGACTGTTTTTAGTCTTTGCTCTAATAAAAGGCTTAACAAACAAAAAACATTACAGACTCTCTGGTACGCTTATAATTTATTTAGTGTTGTTTATATTGTTCCAAAACAGTCCGAAAAATTATATTGTCACCTATACAGTACCTGTTGTTTGGCACACATAATATGCACGCAGCGCTTGCTCCTTACCGTTTTGTTGACCTCCAGTATTTTCCACAACTAGTCAAATTTATTCCACACATCTGACTTCCCCTTTACCTCCTGAGCAACCAGTAAACATTCCCCCGTTACAAATGTATTTGTCACATCCTCTGCCTCCATTTTGCTGTCTCGTGTTACGGTTCAGAGTTTGTTATAACCAATTTATTGATGTAATTATGATACACTATAGGTCAGGCCCTATTGGTCACATGCATGAGACACATACATGTATAAGGTGAAGAGAGCAAGGGTTGAGGGAATAGATTGTTTTCCCTAAACAAATGAGGGATTTTGGTAACTATAACTTTTCAGTCAGAAATGGCTGTAATTAGGTTGTAGCTTCAGCAACACGGACAGTGCGATAAACACTTTGATGTTCTGTGGTGGTCGCTGCAGCAGGAAGGAGAGAGAGACAACGGGTGCTGGTCACATAGTAAGTCGCTGGGTATTTTCTTTTCGAGCCCGGCACAATCAAATCAATTGCTGGACGGACTCCCTCTAGTCATTTGTGTGTCTTAATTATTTCATCAAACAGTTCGCTTAAAGCATCAGACAAGCTCAGTGCATATAGTTGATTTGATAAAAAAAACACAGGATGTGTCAATATATGGAAAAATACACATTTGAAAATTTTGACCGATCGATTGATCGAAAGAACAGGCAACTCTTTAGTCGGGGACAGCCCTACCGATCATATACTGCTTGACAAACAGTGGCAAATTATATATACAGCGCATTTGGAAAGTATTCAGACCCCTTGACTTTTTCCACTTTTTGTTACGTTACAGCCTTATTCTAAAATTGATTAAATTGTCCCCCCCATCAATCTGCACACAATACCCCATAAAGACAAAGCAAAAACAGGCTTGTAGAATTTACATTCAGACCCTTTACTCAGTACTTTGTTGAAGCACCTTTGGCAGCGATTACAGCCTCAAGTCTTCTTGGGTATGACGCTACAAGCTTGGCACTCCTGTATTTGGGGAATTTCTCCCATTATTCTCTGCAGATCAAGCTCAGTCAGGTTGGATGGGGAGTGTCGCTGCACAGCTATTTTAGGTCTCTCCAGAGATGTTAGATCGGGTTTAAGTCTGGGCTCTGGCTGGGCCACTCAAGGACATTCAGAGACTTGTCCCGAAGCCACTCCTGCATTGTCTTGGCTGTGTGCTTAAGGTTGTTGTCCTGTTGGAAGGTGAACCTTCGCCCCAGTCTGAGGTCCTGAGCGCTCTGGAGCATGTTTTCATCAACGATCTCTCTGTACTTTGCTCCGTTCATCTTTCCCTCGATCTTGACCAGTCTCCCAGTCCCTGCCACTGAAAAACATGCCAACAGCATGATGCTGCCACCACCATGCTTCACCGTAGGGATGGTACCAGGTTTCCTCCAGACGTGACACTTGGCATTCAGGCCAAAGAGTTCAATCTTGCTTTCATCAGACCAGAGAATCTTGTTTCTCATGATCTGAGAGTCCTTTAGGTGCCTTTTGGCAAACTCCAAGCGGGCTGTCATGTGCCTTTTACTGAGGAGTGGCTTCCGTCTGGCCACTCTACCATAAAAGCCTGATTGGTGGAGTGCTGCAGAGATGGTTGTCCTTTTGGAAGGTTCTCCCATCTCCACAGAGGAACTCTGGAGCTCTGTCAGAGTGACCATTGAGTTCTTGGTCACCTCCCTGACCAAGGACCTTCTCCCCCGATTGCTCAGTTTGGAAGAGTCTTGGTGGTTCCAAACTTCTTCCATTTAAAGAATGATGGAGGCCACTGTGTTCTTGGGGACCTTCAATACTGTCAAAAAAGAACGTGGTACCCCCTTCCCTAGATCTGTGCCTCGACACAATCCTGTCTCTGAGCTCTATGGACAATTCCTTCGACCTTCCTTCGCTTGGTTTTTGCTCTGACATGCACTGCCAACTGTGGGACCTTATATAGACAGGTGTGTGCCTTTCCAAATCATGTCCAATCAATTGAATTTACCACAGGTGCACTTCAATTAAGTTGTAGAAACATCTCAACGATGCTCAATGGAAACAGGATGCACCGGAGCTCAATTTCGAGTCAATTTCTAAAAACCTGTTTTTGCTTTGTCATTATGGGGCATTGTGTGTAGATTGATGAGGATTTTTTTTATTTAAATCAATGTTAGAATAAGGCTGTAATGTTAACAAAATGTGGAAAAAGTCAAGGGGTCTGAATACTTTCCAAATGCACTGTACATAGTTGATATTGTATGAGGTGAAGCTGTGTAAACAGGGTATGTAATCCCTCACACACATCCAGTAAAGACACGTAGTGTGTACACACACACACACCTGACTGGCACCATCCTTACCTTGTCGAATACCCGGAACGCCTCACGAATCTCCTCCTCGCTGTCTGTGTCCTTCATTTTCCTGGCCATCATAGTGAGGAACTCTGGGAAGTCAATGGTTCCGTTGCCTGGGGGGGGGGGGGGGAGGGGCGAAGAAAGAAGCTTTATTTTTTTAAACTTGAAATGGGGGGAGAAATAAATAATTGAAAGTTGCTTATCAGGGATTCAAACCCCCGTCGCAATGGGCCATGCGTGGTCCAGAGTGGGCTATGTACTGTAGACCACTACAACAGGCTCTGGTAGGGGTTGAGCTGTCTCTAATGCAAAGCAGAGGGAGCCATGACAGGATCACAGAGAGAGGTGGAGGCCACTGGATCAGAACTTCAGGGGGCCTGACTAAACTCTTTGGAGCAGACTCACCCCAAACACTGATCACATTTAACCTGGATTAGTCTTGGCTCGTCAAGGGTGTGTGTGTGTGTGTGTGTGTGTGTGTGGCGGGGGGGGGGGGGGGGGGGGGGGGGGTGATCATGTGTGTGATTCCTGGTTAAGACAATTCCTCTGAGCGCACAGCTGTTCCCTCTCCGGACATACAGTTCCCCAGTGAATCAATACATGTCTGTTCTGTTCTCCACTCTACATGTCCTCTCTCTGTGTGCGTGTCTACCCATCTTACTGTTACATTCTATATACAGGGCGGGGCAGAGTCTCTCCTCATGTACAGTGATGGAAAAAAGTATTTGATCCCCTGCTGATTGTGTACGTTTGCCCACTGACAAAGACATGATCAGTCTATAATTTTAATGGTAGGTTTATTTGAACAGTGAGAGACAGAATAACAACAAAAAAATCCAGAAAAACGATATGTTATAAATTGATTTGCATTTTAATGAGGGAAATAAGTATTTGACCCCGTCTCAATCAGAAAGATTTCTGGCTCCCAGGTGTCTTTTATACAGGTAACGAGCTGAGATTAGGAGCACACTCTTAAAGGGAGTGCTCCTAATCTCAGCTTGTTACCTGTATAAAAAAAGACCTGTCCACAGAAGCAATCAATCAATCAGATTCCAAACTCTCCACCATGGCCAAGACCAAAGAGCTCTCCAAGGATGTCAGGGACAAGATTGTAGACCTACACAAGGCTGGAATGGGCTACAAGACCATCGCCAAGCAGCTTGGTGAGAAGGTGACAACAGTTGGTGCGATTATTCGCAAATGGAAGAAACACAAAATAACTGTCAATCTCCCTCGGCCTGGGGCTCCATGCAAGATCTCACCTCGTGGAGTTGCAATGATCATGAGAAAGGTGAGGAATCAGCCCAGAACTACACAGGAGGATCTTGTCAATGGTCTCAAGGCTGCTGGGACCATAGTCACCAAGAAAACAATTGGTAACACACTACGCAGTGAAGGACTGAAATCCTGCAGCGCCCGCAAGGTTCCCCTGCTCAAGAAAGCACATATACAGGCCCGTCTGAAGTTTGCCAATGAACATTGAATGATTCAGAGGAGAACTGGGTGAAAGTGTTGTGGTCAGATGAGACCAAAATGGAGCTCTTTGGCATCAACTCAACTCGTCGCTGTCAAACATGGAGGTGGAAACATTAAGCTTTGGGGGCGTTTTTCTGCTAAGGGGACAGGACAACTTCACTGCATCAAAGGGACGATGGACAGGGCCATGTACCGTCAAATCTTGGGTGAGAACCTCCTTCCCTCAGCCAGGGCATTGAAAATGGGTCATGGATGGGTATTCCAGCATGACAATGACCCAAAACACACGGCCAAGGCAACAAAGGAGTGGCTCAAGAAGAAGCACATTAAGGTCCTGGAGTGGCCTAGCCAGTCTCCAGACCTTAATCCCATAGAAAATCTGTGGAGGGAGCTGAAGGTTCGAGTTGCCAAATGTCAGGCTCGAAACCTTAATGACTTGGAGAAGATCTGCAAAGAGGAGTGGGACAAAATCCCTCCTGAGATGTGTGCAAACCTGGTGGCCAACTACAAGAAACGTCTAACCTCTGTGATTGCCAACAAGGGTTTTGCCACCAAGTACTAAGTAATGTTTTGCAGAGGGGTCAAATACTTATTTCCCTCATTAAAATGCAAATCAATTTATAACATTTTTGACATTTTCTGGATTTTGTTGTTGTTATTCTGTCTCTCACTGTTCAAATAAACCTACCATTCAAATTATAGACTGATCATGTCTTTGTCAGTGGGCAAACATATAAAATCAGCAGTGGATCAAATACTTTTTCCCCTCACTGTATAGGGCCGTATAGCACCCCGACTGGCTGTTTCAACTTCCCCATTGTGAATGAATGGACGGCTACTACTGTGTGTGTGTAAACAGGGTCTACCACGGCTGCTCTGAGCTCCTTCCCTGGGCCCTCAGAGAATGTGCAGCCCAGCAGAGCAGAGCTCAGAGTGGATTATGTCATGGATTTCACTAGGCCATTATTACCTGCTGCCGTTATTCAACTGGCTTTGTTGTAGGCAGTCGCTAGGTCTGACTGACCTAAATAGTGCCAGTCAGTCATTGTAATCAATGCAAATACTCCCAGTCCCAGCACTAACACAAGTTAGGCCGTGGATAAACTCATCAATAACTTGATTAATAAGAATCAATGTTCATCACTGTTGGGTTGACTTCCAGAAGGGAGAGCAGGGAAGTGACTGAACACACACACACATCTGCATTAGAACTGCTGCATTAGAGCATAGCCCAAGGAGATGGAGTAGTACTTATGTCTTGCTTAAATTCCCAGCATTTCCAGAAATCTCAGTTGGAGCCTTCCCTCCTTGCTTATTCCCTCCCGTTTCCAGGAATCCACCACCCGGGATTTCTGGAAAACCTGGAAACTTTACAACCCTAGTTGGATCCGCTCCAGGGTGCTGTTTTCCATAGGTACATATCTAGGATCAGCTTCCCCTTCCCTTCCCTTCCCTAACCTTAACCATTCTCCAATTCTAACCTTAACCATTAGTGAGAAAAATGCTAAACTGACCCAAAAATCTGCATCCTGGTGCAACTTCACCCTACATCGTAGCAGGCGGAACTCACCATCAGCGTCAACCTCGTTGATCATGTCCTGCAGCTCTGCCTCTGTGGGGTTCTGTCCCAGCGACCTCATCACGGTGCCCAGCTCTTTGGTTGTGATCGTGCCATCGCCGTCTTTATCGAACAAGGAGAACGCCTCCTTGAACTCTGCGGAGAAGACAGCAACAGTTAGTTATGTGTCAAAAATAAATATAAGGAAAAAGATCACAGCTGAGCTACATTAACAACTTGATTAGACAGTCACTGACTTTTTAAATTGACTTTTATCTCATAATGTATGCCATTTAGCAGACACTTTTATCCAAAGCGACTCAGTCATGCATGTATACATTTTACATATGGGCCAACTCATCTAGGCTACATTTGTTCATTGTATTGAGTTACATTTTCAACCAGTAATAATCACACCTCAGTTTGACCTCATGGGCTATGATATGGCCTCGGCTTGAAAGGATTACATTTGTTCATTGTAAAGGTGAGTGGATAAAACGTCTCGCCAACAACAGGTATGTCTGCTAGGTCTCGGTCTGCCATTACGTCCAGAGCAGAGTTTATCAGCAGGCAGGAGCTAGCTAGCTGACATGCCTCACTCACATTAAATATTCATACACAGCTGAAAACTGAAATGTGTGCGTGCATGTGCGTTGAACTCTTTACCGGCAATCTGCTCCTCTGTTAGTTGGTCGGCCTGAGGGGGGACAAAAAGAGGGGGAGGAGGAAGAGAGGAATAAAAAAGATTAATGGCTTTGTATTGTGGCTGAAGACTGAACACAAGCAGCACTACAGAAAAATGAACAATTTCTTCCTTTTTCCATCCCAGTCCACCTCTGAGCAACAGTATGTAATCAGTGATGTCTGAGCAACAGATACAATACAGTACTATGAGTCTTGGCCATGATCCATCTAAGGCAGAGCAGAGAATACAGTAACCTGATGTAGAAAACACACTGTCAGGCTGCCTGTCTCTACTCTGTGCTGCTGAGCTACATTGCACATTAATGCCACGGAGGAGAGGCCAGACCAGACATTTCCCACTTGAATTCAATATAGTCCTGGCCTACATACACACAATGCATGAGTACAGTAAAAACACTGGCAGTCACCTACACAGAATCATATACACTTCAAGCCAAGCCAGCCATGTTTCCCACAAAATCTGATATCACTCATGCAGCTACACAGGTGTACTGTCCAAAATTAACTACAATAAGAAAGCAACAGAAGGGTAGGCTAACTGGTTATTCTAAACTAGAGCCTGTTTTTCTGCTTACACACCAGCACCGGCTTCCCTCCCCATCGCTCATACAGTCATCAACCAGTTACAGCTCCCCTATCATTCATACAGAGGGCATAGTAGAGTGTTGGGACCTGAAACTCATCAAAGTGCAGGTCGGTCAGGTCGGCCACCAGCTTCTTTGCCTTAGGCTGGTCCTGCCAGGTGTCCGCCTTCCTCGCCTCTGGCTTGCCATCCAGACGTAGATTACCCTTCTTCGGCTTTCCATCGAACATCCCAGCCTTGGAGGAGAGGGCATCCATGGCCTCCCGCACAATCACCAGCCCCTCGGCCAGGCACTCCGCCCGCTTGGCGTTTACGTTGCCTTGGCACCTGACTTCCACCAGTTCAGTCTTGGTAATATGCAGGCCGTTCTTCATGTCCTGGACCTCTTTGACCACGTTGTCGATGCGGCTGTTGATGGAGTCCACCAGCATCTGTAAGAAAGACTTGAAGTTCCTCTCCTGCTGCTCGATCAGCTCCTTGTAGAAGAACTGCTGCTGGTCCAAAAGCTCATACACCATGGACAGAGAAACCAAGTCGTCATCCTGGTAGCAGGGTGCCTTCTTTGGCAACATGGTTCTCCTATGTCTCCTCTGCCTGCCTGTCTGGATAACTGGAGCTATGTTTGTCACGTCTCTGGCTCCTAGATGTGAGGAGCGGTGTCAAGCTGTGTCAAGTCTCTGGGAATGGGGCTCAGCTGGCTGAACTTAGCACCAGACAGAGAGGAGGACTAGACTGACCGATAGTGAAGCAGGGTTTACCTGACCTGAAGCCAGAAGTATGCTACTGTGGCAGTGATGTGACTGACTGGCTACCTCCCACTATACTGTAGTGGCAGCCTAACATTGGGGCTGCTGTCTGTATTGGATATCTTTGGGAATCCTAACTTCCACATGGGTCGTTTCAACAGAAGCTCTGGGGTTGATGTATCGTGTTGTGCTTTTCACCACCCCGCCGGCCGCAATCCGGGCTGTCAGCGTGGTGGTATGGTTACAGAAACCAACAAGGGGCCCTGAAGGATCGTTTCCATGATTAAAGCCCGGTCACATGGTGTTTAGGGCCCCCCACCAGGCTGGTTGGACAGACAGAGCCAGAGCATCCAGGGCCAGAGGCTAGATGCTGACGGCTCCCTGCCTGGCAGCCCCACAGACACACACAGAACACCCAGAGCCTGGCAGTGGCTGCATGTCACATCAAGGTGTCAGGTCTATTGTACGGTCTCTGTCAACCAACCCCTCTCTGATACATTGGCTTTCATCTAAGCTATACCTTGGCTTTGTTTCTCTGAACCATCAGCAGTATTCTTTGGCAGTGTCCCCAGAGGGGAGGTCCTCCTCCTGCTCCTTACCCCTGCTGGCTCCTCAGGGCTAGCCCAGTACAGCCCCAGCCTACAGCCTGCAGGACTGCTGGACTCCAGCCAGGAACACCCTTCTTCCCTCCAGCCCCCCAGGCAGGGAACAGGACCCCTAACACACACACACTCACACCGCTATACACACAGCCACACACCCGGCTGTCAGAAATCTGACCTGAATTCACAAGCGCCACACAACCTCGCCAGGAATCTGGCCTCGATATGAGAACTAAAAACAGCATAGCTGCTGATCAGCGTGGTATTGCCACTTTCACACCACATTGACAAGTGGTCCCCGAGGGCCATGTGGTGATAGTGTAGTGCCACGTGGTGGTAGTGTGTTGCCACAGAGAGAAGTTTGTGAGTGAGGGCTTCCTGTCACTGCTATGTCCCGTTTGTGTGTCTGGTCTGTCTGCCCACATGACTGGAGCTCCACTTTCCTCCTGAACACATTACATAGGCCTGCAGCAGAGGGATGGGGTTAATCAGACACTACCACGTCATATGAGCATGTGATATAATGTGCAGTGATATCATGGGCATAGTAATCCTCTAGGCTATATGATCATATACACCAAACCCACACTTGCTCATCAATCTCTTGCAGCAATATTCAGCACATTGACATCAACACTCGGGCTCCCGAGTGGCGCAGCGGTCTAAGGCACTGCATCTCAGTGCTAGAGGCGTCACTACAGACCCTGGTTCGATTTCAGGCTGTATCACAATCCGTCCGTGATTGGGAGGCCCATAGGGCGGCGCACAATTGGCCCAGCGTCGTCCAGGTTTGGCCGGGGTAGCCCGTCATTGTAAATAAGAATTTGTTCTTAACTGACTTGCCTAGTTAAATAAAAGGTTAAAAAAACAAAACAAAATTGTTATTGCTGCTTATTGTTGAATAGCATGAACATGGTAAATGTGCAACTTGTCGTCACAGAATGGAATATAGCCATGGTTTTTTCCCCCTGCTTGTTTGCATTAGAATCACCCTACTTTGGATAAATAATATAATTTGAGCTGTGGGCCTGGTTGTCCGCACTCGGAGTTGGGAGGCACTGCTAAGGCAGTCAGTCAGTCACCCTGCATTTATACTTACAAAGCCTGTGGCCATTCCGTGGCAGTAAAGCGAGAATAAAACAGTCAAGACACAGTGCAATGGCGTTTTTTCCTACATTGAGTCAAAATACTAACTAATAGAGTAGATCATTGCAGTCCACTGAGTCTGTCTTTTAGCCATTTCTGCATGGAAACACACATTCATTTCCTGGTCAGGGCACACAACAGGATCCCGTGGAAGGGTCAATGACTCCACAACTACAGCCGAGATAGCACAGAGGACCCATCCAGCTTCTTAGGCATTAATACAGACGAGAGCAGAGTTCAAACAATCTTTCAGTACACGCCTTCACAGCACAGCAACACACAAACAAACAAACGCACACCTAAAAATATTTATTCTTGTGATTGCCCACCACACCCAATCAAACATCCGAGCAAGGGCCGAAACAGTGGACCCAATGTACCCAGGCCAGTAGGCACACTGATGTGTGTGTCCATATGAAAGGCTTGATTCAGAGTCTACAATCAGTAGCTTTGTTATCACCACTTTGGTGGAGACATTCCTTCCATGCTTTCGGAGAAACAATGTGTGCATTGAGCACAAGAACATCATTTCCTTAGAGAATAATGTTGTCACGCTGTCCTCCCGCTGCTTACACAACACAATTAAGCACTCCCACTTAGGCAGGCCAGAGAAAAGTATCTTGGACGTTGAACCTCCTGTGACAATGGTAAAGTGAATTACTAACTGAAAACCAGGTGATATGCAATACATTGTTCTCCTCGGTGTATAAAATGTGATAAGACCAAGGCATAAGTCAAGCATCTGCATGTCCTGTCAGAAATAGGGCAACTATTCCAAAAGTACCATGTAGGCTATATCATCACTTTCGATCTGACACATAACATAATGGCGCAGATAACATTTCGATTAAATAGAGTCCATAACTGACCAGAAACAGTGATAAAAATAACAAGTCCATAAATGATTTTTAAGCATAGATGAACATTGAAAAAAATGGGACAAGCAGCCTGAATCAAACGCCATTAATATTGCACCAAGTAGCCTTAAATTCCATAGATGGGGTTCCCCTGCTGTCTCCTGAGGCAAAAAGATACATGAAACAATACATTTTACATCGTTCTGACCAGTAACAGAACCTGAAAAAGATTGATAATATATCAAATGATACGATCAAGTGCCTTGCTGGATCAGATCAAAGTCGCCTAATTAAAAAATGCAACATCGTGTCAAATTGATTGAATCATTTATATAATTCTGAATGATAGTGATTTTCTGGGTGGGGGGGTTGGTGTGCAGTAGGCACAGCAGCATGCACTGGTCCCTCGAACAGCATCAACAGATAGCTACATTCGTTCGTCTGCCTGTACATGTGGAAGTTACAGAAATCTCAATGGTTTCGCAGCTTCCGTTTGATCAAAATTGGATAGCCCACATATTTTATGTTACATGATCTTAACACGTTCCATTACCGGCTCATAACACCGATTTTTTTCAACATTAAATCGTAAACTGCGCCTGATTCACGGACGCATGGAGTTAGGTCTGTCTCGCTGATATGATTAAGCCATTGCCTCGATTATCAGCCTAAAATCAACTTTTTAAGAGTTATCATGCGTCTTATATCCGACCAATATCAATTGTAGCCTCCAATACTCAAAAGATGTGACACCCAACAATCTGACAAGCCAGCATCGACGCATGATCACTCGAACCGTACTTCAACGGTACACGCGAATCCTCCTCTGCAGAAAACCTTAGCATTCCTGCCTTACACTATATTTTACTTTAAAATGATAACATTTCGAATGCATCACATAATATAATACTCACCATGTCTGACGGCGCTGGATGGTTTGGTTTTCTAAAACTAGACTACGAGACTGACCAGCTCCCGTGGACCTCTAATGATGGGCTGAAGTTGTGTATCTCTCGCGATCTGTGTCTATATAGCTTGGTGTATTCCTCCGCCGCTGAAAACCCTCCTCACTCACTTCCGCATTTTCCCACTGCAGGACAGGCAGCCTGGATCACTCACTCAATTTGCCAAGCAGAGATTAATTGGCACTAAAAAAGCTATTGGCCACACACAGAACAACACACACCACCAGTGACACTTACATGGTCAAAGTAGGCTATATCTACATTTGACCAGCCATTCCTTTATTGTTGCATTGTAGATGAGCAGCACCAGATAGAAATTCATATTTCAAAAGAAAAGGCACACATAAGATGTTGTTGGTAGAAAAGCTGGTATTCAATCATCACTTCATGATAAGGCAATAAATGTGCTGCATTACATTATTTTATTGGTTCATAAGGCAATAGTGATAGTCTGAGAATAATAGAGATGTATTTCAACAGATGATAGAGCTGGGAAAGGAAAAACACATAGTGATTCATAAAGTTGTCATGACAAATTAACAATTTAAACCTCTGCAAACAGAAGTAGGCTAGCTATGAATATTGAATTCATATTCATTCCCCAATATCAGTCATTGACAAACGTAACAATAATGCAGTTTTATTGTTGGACTGCTTGGTAATAAAACGGGTGAAAAAAATATTTTTATTGCCAATGTTTTGCAAACTCTGAACCAACTTGTTTCCAGTATTTTTCATGATATCCTAAATCTGTAATTTCTTCTTATAATGAAATTATAGGGAGCATGGCTTAGGGGATCCGTATTCAATATCTATAGCCTATTCTTTGTTATTCTCAAATAAAGTGAAAAGCATATATTCAGTTCATGCATTTGTATTTTGATCAGGTTATGCAAATAATTACTAGGTTGTTTAACTCAATTCTGCATGCTGTTTGTGATAATAAAAAAACCTAACACCTAATAAGGTTTAATATTTACAAAAGAAACCGTTGCAAAAAAACTGTAAATTGTTGACATAGGCAGAGAATAGGTTGTGACAGTGGCTTTGGTCATCTGGCAAACAGTACAGATTGTAGTTTACTTCGACAAAATGTCTGTCTGTGCACTGTAAACTCCTCACTGCACCCCGTGCCTATGAATTGACAGGTTTCTGATGCGCTCGAGGTGGAACACGGGCGCTCTACTTTTTGCAACGCACTGTTTTATCTCTGCGGAAGAATACTTTAAAACACACGGGCCTGTCTCTTTGTTGACGCTGGAGAAATTGCGGTTATTTTTGAGACGGCGCTCCTCATTGGCTACAGTGGACCTGCAATATTCTGTTCACTGTACGAACGCCTAAGATTGGCTACGTTGGATCTGCAATGCGTCAAGCAATGGCGCCTAATGTTACCTGAGTAATTTTGGAAAACGATGTGGCCGGACAGTCTACATTGTAACACAGAGTATTTTTGCAATACTGTAATAATTGCTTACGACAAGACGTTTCTTTCAGTCTTTCTAGTTTCTAAAAATGTTTCCTCACCTGGCAAGGGCTCGATTTGAGTTTTTCGGGAGGAGTGGTTGTGATAGGCGATTGGTCACCGCAAACATACACGGAACATGTAGTCGCGGAATTTAAAATGACAGGGGTATCGATGAAGGAATAGAGAATTACAATATTAGAAAGCCTGTACTGATTTCAAGTCTATTTTGTAAATTAGACCAGTAATGGATACAAAAACAAGATTTATTGTGGCTAAACAAACTGTTTAATAGTAATTATGATTGATTTTAGACAATCTCGCAGCCTGCAACAATCAATGGACTGACAAACCATTAACGATGAGTCCCAACCATATTCACGCTTTAATCAGTCTATGGAAGTGACTGATTGATTCATGCTCAAAGATGAATAGGCTAAACTAAATCATAAAATGTGCATTCAAGATAACATGATGTAGCCTAAAATTACAGCTACTACCTCCAACAAACCACAATCGCTTCCGAGGTGACGTCATATTTAGGCGTCTGTTTACACGCAGAAGAGAACAACATGGCTCTATTTCCAGTTTTTGCAGGATTATCAAATACAAAACCTGAGAATGCACCTAAAGGTAATACCACAAATGTTTATTTATGTTTAGTGGATGTGTGAACCAGCTAGCCCTCTTTCTGTGACGGTCTGGGACTTCGAAAGAGAGATCTTGTGAAAGTAAACTCAAGTGCAACGTTTCTGTCTTCGACAGAACACATTAAAAGAGCTGTCTGTCAGCTAGTGGTAGTCAGTTTGCTAGTTTCTCTAGCTTGTTAGCTAAATATTTTACTACAGCTAGCTAAGTGTCTTTGCCATCGGTAAAACACAGTCTGCTCGTAACATAGCTAACTAACATCCCCCAAAAATGCATTCATAGCTATAATTTAATTACTCAATGATGTAGCCAGGTAAATTATTATGATAAACAATTTGCCTACACGCACTCACTGTAAGTCAGCAGTGCATTGGCCGCTCGGGCCCTCACCATAAACTAATTCTAACCAAAAAGGTGTGTTAGTTATATCATGTCTTCACAAAATTAAACCCTAAACCCATGGACACAGTGCGAGAACTAATTGCGATTGATTAGACATGCCTCTTCTCTCTCTCAGAACTAGAATGGCTGAGCAATCAACGTTTTTGCACCGACAACGCTCTTTCTGTCCTCCAGCTAGCCACTGAGTAAGCCAACGAGACACAACTAGCAGAAACGAGGTGTTGTGTTATTATCATAAAAGTCTTTAATAATTATTCAATTATTTCCCTTTCACTGTGACAGAATAGTATTTCATGCTCCATTGTACAGCAGATAGGATAAGGCATTCCGCCCCTTTTGAGAAGCACTGGTTTTATTGAGTGGCTTTGAATGTTATTGCACAGTCTTGTTGTTATTACACAATGATATATCTCGTACTTTTGTGGGATGATATGATCTGAGCATTGACACCGTTGTTGGTAGTTTCACCCAAAAGTCAACGGCTTGTGGTATTTGTACTTAAATGTTTACTTCTAACATTTCTGAACATACTTTTTACAACAGATAGAGAGGATAAGAATTACGTCCCATCCAAGAAGAAGAAAAAGAAGGAGAATAAAAAGAAGAAGCACAAGAAGAAGAGTGGATAACCCTCCACAGCAAGCAGTGGCTCAGATTCAGATACTATCTACCCCAGTGATCTCCTGAAAAATGTTGAGAGCACTCCTCCCAGGTATGACCTCACTCCCTTTGTTCCCAGTGAGACCCAGTCACTCAGGTGTACATGCTCTGGTAGGGATTTCAGGACTGGGCTCAAATGTTGAAGTATCTCAGAGTAGGAGTACTGATATAGGATCAGTTGGACAGGGGGTGAACTGTTCCTAGACCAGCACTCCTACCCTAGGATGCTTTTTTAATACTTGCCCATGTCTGGTAATACTGTACTAGTTGTTGCTGGGTAGGAGTAAGATTCAGTGTCTGTGGCTCAGTGCGTTATGGGAGGTCTACTCTGTGTGTCTAGGCTGACTGCCAGTTGAAGGAGCTCTTCTTGACAGACTTTGAACTCAACTACGTCACACACACACACATACATACACCTGTCTCTATGCCTCTCTCTCAAGGACTGTCTCCTAAACAGGAGACTTGTATAACTCATCTTTGAAGCCACAGTTAAATTAGCCTAATGTTAGGATTATGTTTTGGATCTGTACTGTACTACTAATGTTTTACAACTCATCTGTACTGTACTATCAATGTTTTCTGATTTACAGTAGACCATTATATTTTAGGTCTGTACTCTGCTCTATCAATGTTTAACGATTATGTCTCTTTAATGAAAATTTCTGTTATGGTTGTTTGAGTTAGCACCACTAGCCCTAATATTGTATTTTTATCAAATCATGAAAATGCTAACTTGCTACATGTCACTCAACCCTTCTTTAGAGGTCTATACTCTGCATTGATCCTGACGGTGTTGTTCTTTCTGTCTGTAGTGAGGAGGCGCAGTGTCAGGTGGAAGGGTCTTTTGTGTGGCTGGACGACCTCCAGACCCTCACGGATTGGCCCTTCTGCGTGGACAGGAGAGCAGACTGCGCCAACTGGGAGTACAGATCGCTCTACAGAGGAGACATCGCTAGGTAGGTAACCTCCCTTCCCCCACCACTGCACCACCTTTCCGCCTCCCCCTTCACTCCCCCCTCCAGCACCCCTTATCTCTGCACCACTACTGCCATCTCAGCTCTGGTGTAGCCGCCCATCAGCCGTCATCCGCCCACTCTTACCCTGTCCATGCTACTGAGCTGAACAGAGCTGAGCCAAGCTAAACTATACTGCACTGGCCTGGCATAGAAAATATCTGAGCCAGCACAGTCTGGTTCAGGTTGGCACAATAGTGTGAAAAGGGTATCTGCTGGCCAGCAGTGTTTAGTTAACCCCCCCCCCCCCCTCCCCAGCCTGGTTCTGCTCCCAACTCAAGGTCATTCAGAGAGGGAGTCAGTCAGCTCCAGCTGCAGGTGCCAGAGCCTCCATTACAGTACCAGGGGGTGATAATAAAAGCTGCACTGAGAGTTTTGGGTCTGCGGTCCTGCAGTAATCCATATCTCACAGGCGGTTTTACTACTTCAGCCCTCTGCCTGCCTGCAGCCCACAGTCAGGGTGCGGAAATCAAAGCGTTCACCTGCTGTAAATTCCTTCCTTCCTGTCAGAGCACTTCTTAGATATAAGCTCTCTATGCCCTAGTGAGTTTAATAATAGGATGTATGCTTGTGGAGGGGTATATAGAAAGGGCCTATAAACGTCTACACCCCCCTTAACTTTTTTCACATTTTGTTGCGTTACAAAGTGGGATTGAAATAATAGATGTAATTGTAATTTCTTGTCATTGATCTACACCATAATGTCAAAGTGAAAAGAAAATTCTACAAATTAATACAAATGTATTAACTAAAATACAGTTGTTGCATACTGTAAGTATTCACCCCCTTTGTTTAGGCAAGCCTAAATTAGTTCAGAAGTAAAATTTGGCTTAACAAATCACATAATACATCTTATGGACTCTGTGTGAAATAATAGGGGTTGACATGATTTTTGAATGACTACCCATTCTTCTGTCCCCCATACATACAACATCTGTAGGTACCTCAGTCAAATATTGAATTTCAAGCACAGATTCAAACAGACCAGAGAGCTTTTCGAGAGCCTCATAAAGAAGGGCAATGATTGGTAGATGGGTAACAATAACAAATCAGACATTGAATATATCTTTAAGCATGGGGCCATTGGTGATTTTAATAGCTACAGAGTTCATTGGCTTTGATAGGAGAAAACTGAGGATGCATCAACAACATTGTAGTGACTCCACAATAATGACCTAAATGACTGAAAAGTGAAAAGAAGAATATAAATATACAATGCCTTCAGAAAGTATTCATACCCCTTGACTTATTCCACATTTTGTTGTGTTACACCCTAAATTCAAAATAGATTCAATAGATTTGTTTCTCAACCATCTACACTTCACACATTACCCCATAATGACAAAGTGAAAACATGTTTTTGAGACATTTTTGCAAATGTATTGAAAATGAAATACATAAATATCTAATTTACATAAGTAGTCACACACCTTAGTCAATACTTTGTAGAAGCACCTTTGGCAGTGATTGCAGCTGTGAGTCCTTATGGGTACGTTTCTAAGAGCTTTCCACACCTGGATTGTGCAACATTTGCGCATTATTCTTTTCAAAATTCTTCAAGCTCTGCAAAATTGGTTGTTGATCATTGCTAGACAACCATTTTCAGGTCTTGCCATAGATATTCAAGTAGATTTAAGTCAGAACTGTAACTCGGCCACTCAGGCACATTCACTGTCTTCTTGGTAAGCAACTCCAGTGTAGAATTGGCCTTGTATTTTAGTTTATTGTGAAGTGAGGTGAACTCTTCTCCCAGTGTCTGGTGGAAAGCAGACAACCAGATTTTACTCTAGGATTTTGCCTGTGCTTAGCTCCATTCTGTTTCTTTTTTATCCTGAAAAACTCCCCAGTCCTTAACGAATACAAGCATACCCATAACATGATGCAGCAATAAGTAATGTGTTGTATTGGATTTGCCCCAAACATAACGCTTTGTATTCAGGACAAAAAGTTAATTGCTTTACCACATTGTTTGCAGTATTACTTTAGTGCCTTGTTGCAAACAGGATGCATGTTTCCTTCATTTCACATCCTCAGTTTTCTCCTATCACAGCCATTAAACTCTGTAATTGTTTTAAAGTCACCATTGGTATCATGGTGAAATCCCTGAGCGGTTTCCTTCCTCTCTGGCAACTGCGTTAGGAGGATGCCTGTACAGTGAGGGAAAAAAGTATTTGATCCCCTGCTGATTTTGTACGTTTGCCCACTGACAAAGAAATGAACAGTCTAAAATTTTAATGGTAGGTTTATTTGAACAGTGAGAGACAGAATAACAACAAAAAAATCCAGAAAAACACATGTCAACAATGTTATAAATTGATATGCATTTTTATGAGGGAAATAAGTATTTGACCCCCTCTCAATCAGAAAGATTTCTGGCTCCCAGGTGTCTTTTATACAGGTAACGAGCTGAGATTAGGAGCACACTCTTAAAGGGAGTGCTCCTAATCTCAGCGTGTTACCTGTATAAAAGACACCTGTCCACAGAAGCAATCAATCAATCAGATTCCAAACTCTCCACCATGGCCAAGACCAAAGAGCTCTCCAAGGATGTCAGGGACAGTATTGTAGATCTACACAAGGCTGGAATGGGCTACAAGACCATCGTCAAGCAGTTTGGTGAGAAGGTGACAACAGTTGGTGCGATTATTCGCAAATGGAAGTAACACAAAATAACTGTCAATTTCCCTTGGCCTGGGGCTCCAAGCAAGATCTCACCTCGTGGAGTTGCAATGATCATGAGAACGGTGAGGAATCAGCCCAGAACTAGACGGGAGGATCTTGTCAATGATCTCAAGGCAGCTGGGACCATAGTCACCAAGAAAACAATTGGTAATACACTATGCCGTGAAGGACTGAAATCCTGCAGCGCCCGCAAGGTCCCCCTGCTCAAGAAAGCACATATACAGGCCCGTCTGAAGTTTGCCAATGAACATCTAAATGATTCAGAGGAGAACTGGGTGAAAGTGTTGTGGTCAGATGAGACCAAAATGGAGCTCTTTGGCATCAACTCAACTCGCCGTGTTTGGAGGAGGAGGAATGCTGCCTATGACCCCAAGAACACCATCCCCACCGTCAAACATGGAGGTGGAAACATTATGCTTTGAGGGTGTTTTTCTGCTAAGGGGACAGGACAATTTCACTGCATCAAAGGGACGATAGACGGGCCATGTACCATCAAATCTTGGGTGAGAACCTCCTTCCCTCAGCCAGGGCATTGAAAATGGGTTGTGGATGGGTATTCCAGCATGACAATGACCCAAAACACACGGCCAAGGCAACAAAGGAGTGGCTCAAGAAGAAGCACATTAAGGTCCTGGAGTGGCTTAGCCAGTCTCCAGACCTTAATCCCATAGAAAATATGTGGAGGGAGCTGAGGTTCGAGTTGCCAAATGTCAGCCTCGAAACCTTAATGACTTGGAGAAGATCTGCAAAGAGGAGTGGGACAAAATCCCTCCTGAGATGTGTGCAAACCTGGTGGCCAACTACAAGAAACGTCTGACCTCTGTGATTGCCAACAAGGGTTTTGCCAGCAAGTACTAAGTAATGTTTTGCAGAGGGGTCAAATACTTATTTCCCTCATTAAAATGCAAATCAATTTATAACATTTTTGACATGCGTTTTTCTGGATTTTGTTGTTGTTATTCTGTCTCTCACTGTTCAAATAAACCTACCATTAAAAGTATCTGATCATGTCTTTGTCAGTGGGCAAACGTACAAAATCAGCAGGGGATCAAATACTTTTTTCCCTCACTGTATGTGTGGGGTACAGAGATGAGGTTGTCATTCAAAAATCATGCTAAACACTATTATTGCACACAGAGTGATTCCATGCAACTTATTTTGTGACTTGTTAAGCAAATGTTTACTCCTGAACTTATTTAAGCTTGCCATAACAAAGTGGTTGAATACTTATTCACTCAAGACATTTCAGCTTTACATTTTTGATAAATTTGTAAAAATGTCAAAAAACATAATTCCACTTTGACAGTATGGGGTGGGTATTGTGTGGAGGCCAGTGACAATTATGTTTTTTGAATCCATTGTAAGTTCAGGCTGTAACACAATAAAATTTGGAAAAAGTCAAGGGGTTTGGATACTTTCTGAAGGCACTGTACATAATAAAACATATTCTAAAACATGCATATGTATGCAACAAGGCACTAAAGTAATGCTTCAAAAAAACACGGCAAAGGAATACACTTTTTGGCCTAAATGCAAAGCCTTATGTTTGGGGCAAATCCAACACAACACATCACTGAGTAACTGCGTGCTTATTTTCAAGCTTGGTGGTGGCTGCATCATGGTTAGGGTTGCAAAATTCCAGGAACTTTCAATAAATTCCCTGATTTTCCAGAAAAGTTCCAGGAATTTTGCAACCCTAATACCCTCCATGGTATGGAAATGCTTGACATCGGCAAAGACTAGGGAGTTTTTCAGGATGAAAATGGATGGAGCTAAGCACAGGCAAAATCCTAGAGGAAAACCTGCTTCAGTCTGCTTTACACCAGACACTGGTAGAGGAATTCACCTTTCAGCAGGACAATAACCTACAACACAAAGCCAAATCTACACTGGAGTTGCTTACCAAGGAAACAGTGAATGTTCCTGAGTGGCCAAGTTACAGTTTTGACTTAAATCTGCTTGAAAATCTATGGCAAGACTTGAAAATTGCTGTCTAGCCATGAACCCCAACACCTTGACAGAGCTTGAAGAATTTTGAAAAGCATAATGGGCAAATATTGTACAATACAGGTGTGCAAAGCTCTTATAAGATTAACCCAAGAAGACTCACAGCTGTAATCGCTGCCAAAGGTGTTTCTAACATGTATCGACTCAGGTGGTTAAATACTTATCTAATCAAGGTACAGTATATCAGGGTTTTATTTTTCATTCATCTTTAATCCACTTTGACATTTAGAGTATTTCGTGTAGGTCGTTGACAAATTACAATTAAATCCATTTTAATCCCACTTTGTAACACAATAAAATGTGAAGTAATCCAAGGGGGTGTAGACTTTCTATAGGCACTGTATTATTGCCACACCCCTTTACTTTTTCCACATTACAGCCTTATTCTAAAATGGATGAAAGAAAAACATTTCCTCATCAATCTACACACAATACCCCATATTGACAAAGCGAAAAGAGGTTTTTAAGTTTTTGCACATTTAAAAAGAACTGAAATACCATATTTACATAAATATTCAGACCCTTTGCTATGAGACTCGAAATTGAGCGCAGGTGCATCCTGTTTCCATTGATCATCCTTGAGATGTTTCTACAACTTGATTGGAGTCCACATGTGGTCAATTCAATTGATTTGAAAAGTCACACACCTGTCTATATAAGGTCCCACAGTTGACAGTGCATGTCAGAGGAAAAACCAAGCCATGAGGTCAAAGTAATTGTCCGTAGAGCTCAGAGACAGGATTGTGTCGAGGTACAGGTCTGGGGAAGGGTACCAAAAAAAGTATGCTGCATTGAAGGTCCCCAAGAACACAGTGGACTCCATCATTCTTCAATGGAAGAAGTTTGGAACCACCAAGACTCTTCCTAGAGCTGGCCGCCCGGCCAAACTGAGCAATTGGGGGAGAAAGGCCTTGGTCAGGGAGGTGACCAAGAACCCGATGGTCACTCTGACAGAGCTCCAGAGTTCCTCTGTGGAGATGACAGAACCTTCCAGAAGGACAACCATCTCTGCAGCACTCCACCAATCAGGCCTTTATGGTAGAGTGGCCAGACGGAAGCCACTCCTCAGTAAAAGGCACATGACAGCCCACTTGGAGTTTACCAAAAGGCACCTAAAGGACTCTCAGACCGTGAGAAACAAGATTCTCTGGGTTAATGAAACCAAGATTGAACTCTTTGGCCTGAATGCCAAGCGTCACGTCTGGAGGAAACCTGTTACCATCCCTACGGTGAAGCATGGTGGTGGCAGCATCATGCTGTGGGGATGTTTTTCAGCTGCAGGGACTGGGACACTAGTCAGAGCATTCTCCAGAGCGCTCAGGACCTCCGACTGTGGCGAAGGTTAATCTTCCAACAGGACAACGACCCTAAGCACACAGCCAAGACAACGCAGGAGTGGCTTCGGACAAGTGTCTGAATGTCCTAGAGTGGCCCAGCCAGAACACACTGAACTTTTTTATAAACTGCTCAAGGGCAACAAATGGAGCTCCTGTCACATGTCCAGTTGATGTCGTTTTTAATGTGTTGTCGAAGTGGCATCTGTAACTTAAGAGACCTGCAATCAATACCTGCTAATACACTCACTCACTCACTCACTCACAGCAAGCTAAGAGAAATGTGATCAATATAGCCAATGATTGGAGGGGTGTTTGGTGTATTGCTACAGGGGGACTTAGGTATTCCCTTTTGGACATGGTCAGGTGATGCAGACACTTTATTTCTCTCTTTCTCCCTATTTGTCCTCCCTTACTGAGCTGCACCCCTTTCACAACTCTCTCAACACAACCATTTCTCAAGACATTCCATTACTGTTTTTCTTGACAGGGATTTTACATGTGACTGTAATTATTGTAATGTCTTTCAAGGTACAAGAGGAAAGGCCGTTCGTCTCTGGGTTTGGACCCGCGATCTCAGGCTGTGAGCTGGTCTGAGTCCGTCCCATAGAAGAAGAGAGTAGAGGAGACAGGAGACAGTGACCCTACCGCTACTTCTCCCTCACCGTCCACCAGCTGCTGTGGTCTGTGGGAAAACCCACGCTGCCTGGACCAGGCCTCCTGGGTCAACCCCCTGGGGGTGGATGACTCCTCCACCTCCCTGTGGCTTCAGGGGAAGGGGAAGGCGGAGCAGGGCAAGGCAGTGGAACAACCCTCTACTCCCAGAGTCAATGCTGCCGCCCTGCTGGCTGAACGGTTGGAGGACTTCAACAGGAGGCTGAGGGAAACCCCCACAGACACACAGACCTGGCTGCAGTTTGTCCACTTCCAGGTACGGTATTCAATGTTAAAACCCCACAATTATACACCACACCAATCAGTGTCATCACATCACATGAGATTTCACTAGGATTTCACAAGAGTTTGCTGGCCATTTCACCAGGTCAGGAAAAACTCCAGTCCTTGGCCTGTATCTTGATACAGAAAACATCACATGATTAATTATGTACTAGCTACTATCATTACTGTTAAATTATAATAACTTCCCGATCTGTATTACAGGACGAGGTGGCGAGTACCACCGGGGTGTTTGGTGACATCTCTGAGAACGAGACAGAGCGCCGGAAGAGGTCAGTGAGGGCCACGCTGGAGAAGAAGGTAGCCATTTTGGATCGAGCGGTGGACAGTATCCCCAGGTCTGTGGAGCTGAAGCTGGAGCGACTGCGTCTGTGCAGGGAGCTGTGGGAGCCGGCAGCCCTGTTGAAGGAGTGGAAGAAACTGGTGTTCCTGCACCCCAACAGTGCCCCTCTGTGGAGGAAGTACCTGCTGTTTGTGCAGAGCCACTTCAGCACCTTCTCTGTGTCAAAGGTCAATGCGGTGTACGGGAAGTGTCTGAGCACCCTGGCGGCAGTGCAGGATGGGAGCATGTTGTCTCACCGGGCGCTGCCGAGCACTGATGAACACATGCTGGGTAATGGTCCAAGCCACATACAATATACGCTACATATTATTATGTTTTCAATTCAATTTTGCATGAATAACTTATAACATATTAAAGGTAGACTCAGCGATATGACGTCGATGCAGAAAGTAAATGGCATAATGGGTTGGAGTTGGAGGGCAACGCTCAACTTTGCTGTTTTGGTGCTCTGGCTACAACACTGTGAACAGCGTGAAGCGAACCCGTGCACATACGCAGATACTGTGTGTGACTGTGTGAGAGCGAAGTCTTGCATCTTGCTCATCTCAATATCTGCGGTGCTGCTCGTGGCAACGTCATTTTTCACTCACTGCCTGCTCTGTCGTCATGATACTGTACATTCAAGCCTGTTCTATTTGGTCAAGTATTTTTTCTTCTTTTTTAAAATCCTTCATTCGCACAGGGCTGTACTGTAGAGGGGCTGACACTTTAGATGTAAATATTCGTAGAGGCGAGCAGAGAGCGAGCATTATGGTTCAGGTTTCTCCTTGTCAGTATGTTATGTGCTGCTGTATTGAACTGTTTGTGGTTTGGACTGTGACTGTCACCGTGAGAGTGGAAGAGAAGAGTTGATGAGTTGTCATTCTGTGGGAAGAGAAAGGTGCCATTGTCTCTAATATCATGTTATAGGGATGATTTAGATGGTCTAGACATGGAGGGAGGGATTGAGAGCTATTTCGTTATTCTACTGTGGGCAGCTAATAGATTAATAGTGTGTGTTTGTGTTTATGTATCTTTCAACTCCTTTCAGAAGCCTTTGGTATGGATTTGATGAGCTTGTAATCTCTCGTGATAGACTAAATTGAGTTAGCTGGCTAGCTAGCTCCATTATTGTGGTTATATGTGTATCATGATGTCATCACCAGATGTCCATGGGTGTGGCAGATCGTTCAGTAGGCAAACATTGTGGAATGGTGCAGATGGATATGTCATAAATAGAACTGACATGATTCCTTCTACATGACTGACAAATATATCTGTTTTACACAGGACATTTCTATCTGCAACATCCTGTAACATGTTTCCCCCTCCTGAAAAGACCCCTAAACAGGTTTGTGCTGTGTCATGTTTCTGACCATTGACAGGACAGGAGATAAGGACCAGAGGAAAGGGAGGGAGAAGGAGAGATGAGATAGGGAGTGGGAGAAGGAGAGGCAGAAAGAGGGAGGATAATGGATATCCAGTGTCCATGCTGCTGAGCCATGATATGAGTACTGCAGCGATGGCCTAGCCTCCTGGCCCTCTGGCAGCTGCCCCTCAATTTGTCTAATGAAACTATTATCTAGTTAGACTGGCTGGCCAGTGGGCAGTCTGGGTAGGGCTGCTACTGGGCTAAACCAGGAACTATCCTGTCAGGGCTTTAGCCTGCTGAACAATGATAAGGATGGGATGCACTCCAGGAACAATTCAAGTAAACATTTTTATTTTCTTTATGAAAAATGATAAGATTTAAACTAACAGAAACAGAAGCCAGTGCAACAGAAACAGAAGCCAGTGCTCGATATTCTTTAGCCTACTGAAACAGTTTGTCTGTCTACCACAGCTAACTGTTATTACAACAATGACTGGGTATGTAAGGGTGGAATAACATTATTTGGATTTGATGTTATCCAGTGATGCCTCGCTTATTCAAATCACCTGGAATTTTGTTTAACATACTGGGACTATTTGGGTTCATAGATCACCTGCTGCAACTCATAGAAAGTAGGCTAGCTGTTTCAGGTTCAACAAATGGATGTAATCACTTGTGGAATCTTTGGTATTCTCAACTCGACTTCATAGGTACAGAAAGCTATTTTATTTGAGTGATTCTCTTGTTATAATATGATGGTCACAGACTCCCTCTTGTGGTTGGATAGTACATATTGTAGCGTTTCTGCAGCTGCACTGTGGACAGATCAAACAGTGTGGGAGATCTAAGCATGGAATAAGCAGCATGTGCTAAAACTGGACGATAGCCTCTGCTTACATACGAATGCTGGGCATATATCTACACCAGGCTCCTTGCATTCCTCTGAGGGAGACTGTCAGTCTCTTTGACTGTTTGTTTCCTTTTAGAATATGCTGATGGTTTCTGTACTGGCAGTACAAGGCAGGTAGCCTGGTACCAGATCTGTTTGTGCATTGTCATGCCAATGATCATAGAAGTTGGGCAAGACAGTACAAACAGATTTGGGACCAGGCTACAAGGCAGGGTAATGAAAACCCCAACTTGTAGGGAACATCTGCAGGAGACGGCAGCATTAATTATAACTTGATAATGATTTAATGAATAATGAAGATGCCTGTGAGGAACAATAAAAAGATTTTGAGAAGCTGCCATTTCATGTGACCTCAGGGATGTGTACCTTTAATTCGCCTGCTGAATTTTTCATTCAGGGAAGATTAGCTATCTGTTATTACTTTTCAAACTTTCTTTCCGCCATCCCTCACTCTCACTTTCTTTTCCTCATCCTACTTAGTTTTTTCTTCACTCATAGTCTGAGGATATATTAATCCTTAAAAGCTCATACTAAACTAATGCACCTGTGCTGGTTCTAATAGGTGGAATTGAAGTGGGTGCTTTGTGTGACGGCCTGGCAAGAGTCAAAAGGCCTCCTGTGGGGCAGGGATTTTTTAAAAAGTAAGACAAGATGGACAACACAGAGGGAAGACACTTGGCAACAGCACAGATGCATCAGCAGACAGACAGTGGAAACAAAGCACTTCACGACAAGAGAGACATCACCAGGGAGACCTATGACAACAAAAAGCTACATGGCACAAACAACGTTAAGGGCAGACAACAGCACGATGGAAAAAGACTGTCACACCACAATACAAGCTACATAGCCCTACTGAACAGACAAATAGACAGACAGCACCAACAAATAATGGCAGCGCAAGCGGACAGACAGAAAACAGACACCACAATCAACAGCGTAGGTTATTGGCTCGCATAACAGCTACATGTGTCCGTGAGAATGTCCATGATTGAGTCCTTGAAAGCTGAGACGGGGACAAAACTTTCCAGCTTTAGCATTTTTTGCAGATAATTCCAGTCGCTAACTGCAGCGAACTGAAAAGAGGAACGACCCAGGGATGTGTTTGCTTTGGGGACTTTTAACAGAATGTGGCAGATTGGGTACTGTATGTAGAGGATGATGGTTGCAATAGGTATCTCAGGTAGGGGGGAGTGAGGCCTAAGAGGGTTTTGTAAATGAGTATCAACCAGTGGATTTTGTGTCTGGTATAAAGAGATGGCCAGTTTACAGAGGAGTGCAGTGATGTGTCCTATAAGGACGTTATTTTCAGATCGGCAGGTAAGGGTGCACTTGAGCGGCTAGATGTTCTGTACCATTCTGCCATCCGATTTGCAATGGCAGAATGGTTCAGAACATCTAGCCGCTCAAGTGCACTCTTACCCGCCGATCTGAAAATAACGTCTCCATAATCTAACATGGGTAGGGTGGTCATCTGAATCAGGGTTAGTTTGGCAGATGGGCGAAGGAGGAGCGATTACAATACAGAAAACCAAGCCTAGATTAGATGGCCTGATTTAATGATGTGGTATTGTATGTCCTCTCTCTCTCTCTCTATCTATTTCTTTATCTCTGCAGCCATCTTCCTCCAGCAGTGTCATTTCCTCAGGCAGGCAGGCCACTCAGAAAAGGCTGTGTGCCTGTTCCAGGGCCTGCTGGACTTCACCTTCTTCAAGCCAGACACTGTCAAGGACCTACCCACCAGACAACAGGTAGAGACACACACACACACACACACACACAGTCATTCCCCCATGTACCTCTGAAAATAACACACATGTTCAAACACATGCACACATACAGCTGGTTGGTCTCCAGAATAGATTGATGATGAATTGGGGGTCTGTGTTACTGTATTGGCTGTTTATCCAGAGCCAGTGCACCAGTGGGATGTGTTTACCTTAGACTAGGGCTGTGTGTTTTCCGTCTCGGGCATTAAAGCAGTGCTGGGGACCCATCCAGAGAGTGCCCTTCAGCCTATGGTCTGGGCCTTGTCACTTTACTTTATGCTCTACATGGAAACTTTGCTAAGGGGGCATTTAAAATGCATGGCCAGCTTTTAATAGAGGCTTTTTTCCAGCAGTGGTGCATTCTAATTCCTATCTAACTGAGCCCTGGCTTTCTCAGCCAAATCCATTTCTGCTGAGTGAAAGGTAGAAGAAGGAATATTACCCTTTTTAAGTACAGGGAGAGAGAGGTCTCCCTTTCCTCTGTGTGTTTATACTGACAAATAGCTGGCCAAATAGAGAGGTACAATAGAAATCATTTTGAGAGGTTTCATATTCATGGAATATTGAAGCATGGAATACGAATGAGTGTTTAATAACTTAGCTAGTATAAATGCAGAATTATGAACCATGTTGCTTGTATCACCCTTGCGATCCTCAGAAGGATGTGTCTGGGCACTGAGCTTCTGCTCACTGTGGCTTCTGTCTCGCTCTGTGTGTGTGTGTGTGTGGGGGAGAGCGAGAGAATGAATAATGGCCTGTTTGCAGTGGCTCACAGATCACTCTCCCCCCAGGACATGTTGCTGTGTGTGTCTGCATGGTAAACATAGCATTAACTGTTTTAATTGATCAGAGATCCTTTAACACTACGTCTCTGTTCCAAGGTCCATACTACCAATTAGAATGAAGCAACATGTAGCCTATTAGGCATGCATTGAAAGTGGTATGCTAGTGTGGATATTGGAACATAGTCTAGGTCAATTGAGCTTTGTATTGTTAAAATGTAACACCATATAGGATCTAGTGATATTTCTCTACCAGATTTGGAATTACTGATACCCAAAGCCCCATGTTCAGAGCCTGTCTGTTTTTTGTCTCGGAGACAGTGAGATTTAATAAGAATATTAATGGGTTGGATCCCAACGCTGCCACCAAACGTAAGATGGCTACAGTGCATTCAGAAAGTATTCAGACCCCTTGACTTTTTCAACATTTTGTTAGGTTACAGCTTATTCTAAAATTGATTAAATCATTTTTTCCCTCATCAATCTATACACAATACACTAGAACAATCTATACACAATACACTAGAATGACAAATCGAAAAAAGGTTTTTAGAAATTGTTGCAAATGTTAAAGAAAATATTTTAAAAAATACCTTATTTACGTAAGTATTCAGACCCTTTGCTATGAGACTCGAAATTGAGCTCAGGTGCATCCTGTTTCCATTGATCATCCTTGAGATGTTTCTACAACTTGATTGGAGTCCACCTGTGGTCAATTCAATTGATTGGACATGATTTGGAAAGGCACATACCTGTCTATACAAGGTCCCACAGTTGACAGTGCAGGTCAGAGCAAAAACCAAGCCATGAGGTCGACAAAATTGTTTGTAGAGCTCCGAGACAGGATTGTGTCGAGGCACAGATCTGGGGAAGGGTACCAAAACATTTCTGAAGCATTGATGGTCCCCAAGAACACAGTGGCCTCCATCATTCTTAAATGGAAGAAGTTTGGAACCACCAAGACTCTTCCTAGAGCTGGCCGCCCGGCCAAACTGAGCAATCAGGGGAGAAGGGCCTTGGTCAGGGAGGTGACCAAGAACCTGATGGTCACTCTGACATAGCTCCAGAGTGGAGATGGCAGAACCTTCCAGAAGGACAACCATCTCTGCAGCATTCCACCAATCAGGCCTTTATGGTGCCCTGACGGAGACACTCCACAGTAAAAGGCACATGCCAGCCCGCTTGGAGTTTGCCAAAAGGCACCTAAAGGACTCTCAGACCATGAGAAACAAGATTCTCTGGTCTGATGAAACCAAGATTGAACACTTTGGCCTGAATGCCAAGCGTCACGTCTGGAGGAAACCTGGCACAATCCCTACGGTGAAACATGGTGGTGGTGGTGGCAGCATCATGCTGTGGGGATGTTTTTCAGTGGCAGAGACTGGGAGACTAGTCAGGATCGAGGGAAAGATGAACGAAGCAAAGTACAGAGAGATCCTTGATGAAAACCTGCTCCAGAGTGCTCAGGATCTCAGACTGGGGCGAAGGTTCACCTTCCAACAGGACAACGACCCTAAGCACACAGCCAAGACAATGCAAGAATGGCTTCGGGTCTCTGAATGTCCTTGAGGGGCCCAGCCAGAGACCGGACTTGAACCCGATCAAACATCTTTGGAGAGACCTGAAAATAGCTGTGCAGCGAAGCTCCCCATCCAACCTGACAGAGCTTGATCTACTGAGAAGAATGGGAGAAACTCCCCAAATACAGGTCTGCCAAGCTTGTAGCGTCATACTCAAGAAGACTCGAGGCTAATTGCTGCCAAAGGTGCTTCAACAAAGTACTCAGTAAAGGGTCTGAATAGTTATGTAAATGTGATATATTTTTTATTTTTTTTGATACATTTGCAAATATTTCTAAAAACCTGTTTTTGCTTCGTCAATATGGGGTATTGTGTTGTAGATTGGCATCAGCATGCTTCAGTTCGGCCAGTGGTTAGCCAAAGTCATCTAGGCGACCCGAACGAATGTGCTCGAATTGTATCTGCATGGCTGGGGAATTAGTCTACTAGTTTATCAAGCCTGGTATTTTTTAATACAACTTTTCACATAACACACATTACCTGCCGTTGTTGATGAAGCCGTCTGTGTCATCAGGGCAGTAAAGGCGTCCGCATGCTTCCCAGCCGAAACAGTTTGGAAGAGTTTGTGCAAATTTTATAACGACATTTTGTGACGTTTTTGTTAGTTTTGGACTTAAGGGGTTTTTCGGCTGTTCGGGCAAACACATTGTTTTCTCCAGGCCAGCCGAAGTCTACGCCCCTTCGTCAGTGATTGGTCAACTGTAGGGATTCTTTGTTGTCATTCAACGAGAGATTACTCGTTTTCATGCACATTCTTTCATTGAGAAATACTGCATCAAACATCTTAGTTAGATATAAAATTGCGCGACTAAGATCTCCTTGGCAAAAACATCAAAATTAATGACACATTTCTTGAGTTATCTTAGATTAATTCTGACAGTTTTGAGGAAGTGTATACTGGCTACGGCGTCTCAAAATGGACAAACAGTACTATTGTCGCTTTTCTCTCATTTTTCAAGCGAAGGTCTTTACTGCCCTGATGACACAGACGGCTTCATCAACAACGGCAGGTAATGTGTGTTATGTGAAAAGTTGTATTAAAAAATACCAGGCTTGCTAAACTAGTAGACTAATTCCCCAGCCATGCAGATACAATTAGTAGTCATTTTGTTTGTGAATTTACCACTTGGCTGTCGATTTATATTACCCTGTCACAGGCCCTCCCAGTCAACACCACCTCATACGATTGCCTGTTGCAGTTGTTCGAGAGATGTCCAGTTTGCAGCTGAACATGCAGCATAGAGAAGTCCAGAAAGGGGGCCTTCATCAGCCACATGTTGGCAAGTATCCGGGCCAGCAACCTTCACCTGTCAGCATTAAAAGCTTTCACAGGCTCATCATTTGTACAAATACAGAAGGTAACCCACTTCATTACTTTGATACATTTGATAACCCAATTGTGAAACATAATTTATGTAAACGGACATTATTTGTTGCTTATTTTCTACTTCTTAGACGCATATAATGTCCAGGGCATAACCAAGCCTGGTAGAACCAGCCTGATCGCTGTGTTCACCATTCTATTTCACTTCACATTTTATGATATCTAAGGTGAACACAGAGATCAGGTTGGTTCCACCAGGCTAATCATAACCACCATTGATAATGTAGTCAGTGCTCTCTTGCAAGATGATGTCCAGACTGACAGACAGGCTTAATACTGATTTCTCTGAATGGAGAGAGACCTGGCACTTTGCATAAACATTTTACTAGACAACTTTTACTTGTATTTATTTTGTATTATTGAATTTAATGGTATTAGTCAATATGGGGAGGGGAAACCCTGTGTATTCTGCACCAGGATCAGGGAACTCCTGTTGTATACAGGACACCACACAGGAAGGTATGACCACTCTGACATTTGCCAAGGTACCCCCATTACCACCAGACAAAATGCAGATAGGCACAATATCTGTATCGGCTGGGAACGACAGTGAAAGATGCACATTGTTATATAAGCAGAACACTGCTTCTATGGTATTATGTAAAGGGTTGTTTATTCTAAATGGATCTGTTACTACATTTGAAAGTTATCAAAACACTTTGTTTAGAATATCTACATAAATTCAGCAATTGCATTCTTCTCATATTACTCTGTAGGCTACTGACTTATTCAAAGCTTTCTCTGGCATCTCACCATACACCTGCATGTAGTTATTGAACTCAGCCTGCAGGAGGTTTGTTTGTTGTGATTGAGTGGGGGGAAACAGCTGCGGGCAAGGTTCTGACAAGGTTCTGGGTTCTGTTGGTGGTGGCAAGGACACACCCAAGAAACACCCACATCAAACCACACCCCCCAAGCCAACTCACGTTTGGCTTCTGTCATTGCTGCCAGCATTTCTTGAGGAGCGAGCGAAAAAACTAGGCCAAATCAGCAGATGCAGTTCCCCTTTAATGAGGAAGAGAGAGACTCCCTGTGGCTTTACTCTGTAGTCATCTGATTATTAGAAAATGATCTGAGCAATTTCTCCAGAAATGTGTGCAGTATTAAACAGTACCACCTTTAATTCCACACTAATGAGTTTCTGCTGTTCTCCATGGAGGTCTGGTTTGCTAATCACTGCAGCACTCTGTTGATGGCAGCCAGAGACATGCACTAGCAGCATTGTGTTGATGGCAGAGAGAGACATGCTGTCCTGTCTCTGCCATGGTCCTGTTACTGTCCTGTCCTGCAGGCTGTCCTGCAGTGCAGCCTAATGTTGTTCTTCCTGTCAGGAGAACTGCTGTCCTCAGCGCAGACAAAGACAACTGCCCATCAACCCATGAAATGATTACATTGTTGAAATAACTGACATTCCCACTCCTCCACCCACTCTGTGATTGTGCTTAGTGTTAATTACTGTGTTATTGAGGAATTGATTTATATAAATATCTGTTTTGTATTGTATTAAACTATACCATTGACCTTTACGGTCCCCCAGGTGGAGTTCTTTGAGCCCTTCTGGTACGGTGGGGAGCCCCGTGTCGGGGAGAGGGGGGCCAGGGGGTGGAGAGCCTGGCTCCAACCCAGTGAACAAGGTCAATCACATTATAGCTAGCCTATTCTAAAATCTGTGGTAACACATTACATGAAGTTGCTCTTATTCCCGTGTTGTAACACTAATTACACTAGTAACATCATAGTATAAGGACTTTTTGGCAATGTAAGTCATACTGTTGTAATGTTAAAGGGATACTACGGGATTTCGGCAATGAGGCCCTTTATCTACTTCCCCAGAGTCAGATGAACTCATGGATACCATTTTTATGTCTGCATGGGGTTTGAAGGAAGTTGCTAACTAGCGCTAGTGCAATCGCTAACTAGCGTTAGCGCAATGCCTGGAAGTCTATGGGTATCTCCTAACGCTAGTTAGCATTGGCTCACGAAACGACTTCAAACTTCCTTCATACTGGACACAGAGACATACAAATGGTATCCACAAGTGTCCCTTTAACCTTTGGAACCTCTTTGTGACAGCTGATGAAGATGGTGAAGATCAGGAGGAATCAGAGGTGAAGAATAAGACCTGGCCCAAGTGGAGGATCTGGTTGGACGTGGAAACGTCACGTGAGATCATCCATTGGCTGCCGTGGAGGCCAGACAAAACCAAAGGCCAATCGGTGGAGGACTGTGAGGACCCAGACCAACAGGTATTGGCTGTAATCACTGGTGATAGTGGTGCCGAAACTGGGATATATCTACCATTAAAAACGGGTCCTAGCGTTGCTGTTTACAGTGCATTCGGAAAGTATTCAGACCCCTTGACTTTTTCCACATTTTGTTACGTTACAGCCTTATTCTGAAATGGATGAAATCGTTTCCCCCCCTCATCAATCTACACACAATACCCCATAATGACAAAGCAAAAACATGTAGAAATTTTGCAAATGTATTAAACACAAAAACAGAAATATAACATTTACATAAGTATTAAGACCATTTACTCAGTACTTTGTTGAAGCACCTTTGGCAGTGATTACAGCCTCGAGTCTTCTTGGGTGTGACGCTATAAGCTTGGCACACCTGCATTTGGGTAGTTTCTCCCATTCTTCTGTGCAGATCCACTCAAGCTCTGTCAGGTTGGATGGGGAGCGTCGCTGCACAGCTTTTTTCAGGTCTCTCCAGAGATGTTCGATCGGGTTCAAGTCCGGGCTCTGGCTGGGCCACTCAAGGACATTGAGGCTTGGCCCGAAGCCACTCCTGCGTTGTCTTGGCTGTGTGCTTAGGGTCGTTGTCCTGTTGGAAGGTGAACCTTTGCCCCAGTCTGAGGTCCTGAGCGCTCTGGAGCAGGTTTTCATCAAGGATCTTTCTGTACTTTGCTCCGTTCATCTTTCCCTCGATCCTGACTAGTCTCCCAGTCCCTGCTGCTGAAAAACATCCCCACAGCATGATTCTGCCACCACCATGCTTCACCGTAGGGATGGTGCCAGGTTTCCTCCAGACGTGACGCTTGGCATTCAGGCCAAAGAGTTCAATCTTGGTTTCATTTGACCAGAGAATCTTGTTTGAGTCCTTTAGGTGCCTTTTGGCAAACTCCAAGCGGGCTGTCATGTGCCTTTTACTGAGGAGAGGAACTCTGGAGATCTATCAGAGTGACTATCAGGTTCTTGGTTACCTCCCTGACCAAGACCCTTCTCATCCGATTGCTCAGTTTGGCCGGGCGGCCAGCTCTAGGAAGAGTCTTGGTGGTTTCAAACTTCTTTCATTTAAGAATGATGGAGGTCACTGTGTTCTTGGGGACCTTCAATGCTGCGAAATGTTTTGGGACACTTCCCCAGATCTGTGCCACGACACAATCCTGTCTCGGAGCTCTACGGACAATTCCTTCGACCTCATAGCTTGGTTTTTGCTCTGACATGCACTGTCAACTGTGGGACCTTATATAGACAGGTGTGTGCCTTTCCAAATCATGTCCAATCAATTGAATTGACCACAGGTGGACTCCAATCAAGTTGTAGAAACATCTCAAGGATGATCAATGGAAACAGGATGTACCTGAGCTCAATTTTGAGTCTCATAGCAAAGGGTCTGAATACTTATGTAAATAGGGTATTATTATTATTTGTATTTTTGTATTTTTTTCAAAAAAATCTAAAAACCAGTTTTTGCTTCGTCATTGGGGGGTGTTGTGTGTGGAACGGATTATATTATTATCTATTATTTCTTCATACCTGTTATCAAGAATCCACGGCTGAAACTAGCCAGCTAACTAGCTATTTGCTATTAGCTATTGCTATTAGCCACCGTTAGCGGTCTTCACCACTGTCCGTGGCCTGCACTACCTACCAGCCAGCTCTAGCCTGGACAATTATCGGCCAGTCTGCACAGCGTGCTATCGACCCAGAGCATTTAGGATTTTCTGCCGGAATCACTGAATCACTGGACCTTAACACCGGATCATCACAACTAGCTAGCTGCAACCGAATGGATGTTGTTGTTGGCTAATCACCACTAATCACCACTTGTCCCAAAGCTAGCACCAGTTAGCCTTGAGCTAGCCTCGAGCCAGGCCCATCTCCAGGCTATCCACCTCTCTGTCAACCGGACGGGACCTCCTAGTGTCGACACGGAGCCCCGCCGATCCATCACGACTGGTCTGCCGACGTAATTGTCTGATGTGGTTTCAACAGGCTTCCCGTTGCGACGACCACAAAGATCCATCTGCTAGCACCGGCCCGCTAGCACGCGCAATCAATAGCCGTGCCTCCTGCTCGCCTGTGCTGTAGCAGCCTACGAACTGCTCCCGGACTTACCTATTGCTGTTCACTGGACCTTATGATCACTCAGCTACACATCTGATGCCCGCTGGACTGTTCCTTTACACGGTACCCCATCCTGTTTAGCCTCAGCCCAAACTTTCGTCGCCATTACCAGTTGTTGTCTTAGCCCTCTCGAATAACACCTGTGATTGCGTTATGCCTCTCTCCCATATCAATATGCCTAGCCTATTGCTGTTTGGGTTAGTTGTTATTGTACTATTTCATTGTAAAGCCCCCAGTCCCGCTCAACCTGCCTCAGATAGCTTCTTTGTCCCACCCCCCATACACGCGGAGACCGGCTCAATCGGTACCTCCAGTGATGCTATCTCTTTCATCGTTACCCAATGATTAGGTGTACCTCCACTGTACTCATATCCTTCCTTATCTTTGTCTGTACATAATGCCCTGAATCTATTCTACAACGCCCGGAAATCTGCCCCGTTTATTCTCTGTGCCCAACGCACTAGAAGACCAGTTCTTAAAGCCTTTAGCCGTATACTTATTATATTCCTCCTCTGTTCCGCTGGTGATGTAGAGGTTAACCCAGGCCCTGTAACCCCCAGTATCACTCCTACTCCCCAGGCGCTATCATTTGTTGATTTCTGTAACCGTAAAAGCCTTGTTTCTTGCATGTTAACATCAGAAGCCTCCTCCCCAAGTTTGAGTTATTCACTGCGTTAGCACACTCTGCCAACCCTGATGTCCTAGCAGTGTCTGAATCCAGGCTTAGGAAGGCCACCAAAAATTCAGAAATGTCCATCCCGAACTACAACATTTTCCGTCTAGCTAGAACTGCCAAAGGGGGCAGAGTTACAATCTACTGTAGAGATTTGCAGGCTATCATACTATCCAGGTCTGTGCCCAAACAGTTTGAGCTTCTACTTCTAAAAATCCACCTTTCCAGAAATAAGTCTCTCACTGTTGCCGCTTGCTACAGACCTCCCTCAGCCCCCAGTTGTGCCCTGGACACCATATGTGAATTGCTTGCCCCCCCATCTATCCTCAGAGTTCGTACTGCTTGGTGACCTAAACTGGGATATGCTTAACACCCCGGCCGACCTACAATCTAAACTAGATGCCCTCAATCTCACACAAATTATCAAGGAACCTACCAGGTACAACCCTAAATCTGTAAACATGGGCACCCTCATAGATATCATCCTGACTAATTTACCCTCTAAATACACCTCCGCACCAATTGTAAATGTACTTATCTTCAGTCCTTTTTAATGCCGAACTATGTGTCCACTGAGATTCTCCCACTAATGCTCATGTCTCTCTGTGTCCCTTCTCCTTCGCTCTGTATGTAACATGAAGGTGCTGAGGTACGTGCGTGGCAGAAACAAGAAGCGTGTGAAAGCCCAGGGGAAGAGGAGCAAGTGCTTGGCCAAGCGCCGGCTGAAGCCTGTGGGGGAATCTGGACGAGGCTCACAAGGTATTCGACACAGCCCTGGGACAGTATTCCCAGCTGGAGGTGGAGGAGGCCTGGCGATGGGGTACGGACGGAGCAGTGGCAGGGAATACTGTCACGACCGCTATTTCTTCACCAGCGGTCTATATCCTCACCAAGCTAGCAGAGGTAGTTCGTATGCCCCCTTCACTGGACAGTTGGCTCCAGTGGCTGTTCTGAAGGCCAGGAAGGCATATGAGCAGGCTGTGGTGAGCTCCCTGCCTGGACTGGAAAAGGGGGCCTCAGGGCAGGGACACTCCAAGAAGCCCAGGCAGGTCAAAGGGCTAGTGGAGTGTTATGCCCTGTTCCAGTACCTGACTGTGGGGGTTGATGCTGCAGATGCAGTCTACAGCCTGGCCAGGGAGAGGCTGGAGCAACACCCCAGTATGTCAGCCCAGGGGTCAGCTAGCAGCGAGGCTAATAGTGACACACAGACACAGAGCTCTGCTGCCTCAGAGTGTGAGGCCCTGGCTGTCCAGCAGGCGGCACTGCTGCACTACCACACCAGCACCAGTGTGTACCCACTCAGCCATCTCAGACTGGCGCTGACTGCGGTGCTAGTCTGCTTTGCCTCTAGCGCCCCCCTGTGGCAGCCCTATGTGCAGGTGGAGAACCGCTACCACAGCGCTGGCAGGGCTCGCCGCTTCTTCCACAGCGTGACCAAGGCTAGTGCCAGTGTCGTGCCACGCCTGTTTGCCATCAGTGCAGAGGAAGCAGCTGGTGGACTCTGTACAGACGTGAGAACACTGAGGATGGAAGACTTTAATCAGTATCAGTTAATCTAATAATGTCAATAACAGAACACACACACACAAAGAGATAGTACTAGTCTGTAGTAGCTCACATTTAGATTGAAGTTCATTTGGTTAACTAACTGGATGTTTTTTCATGAGTTATTGCTTTCTTCTAGGCAGGTCTGGTTGCTATTGCGACACCTTTTCCACCCTTCCAGAAAACGGCCTAAGCAACCGTATCCGCTCGCTATTTGAGATGCCATAGCAACAGAGCACGGGGTCCACTGTCCGTTGCTGTGGAGGATGTACTTCCTGGTAAGACACCTCTTTAAAACATACGCCTAAATCATTATCTAGTTATCAGAACCTATATAGCCGAATGATGAAGGAGCATTGGAAGTATGGCTGAAGCTGACGTCTGGTGTTTTGTTGTGTACTATAGGTGACAGAAGGGAAAGTGGAGAAGGGAAGAGGGATCTTCTACAAGGCTCTCCAGGACGTCCCATGGGCCAAGGTGAGCACAGTGACAGATGAAATGATGAAACAGTGATAATTAGTAGCTCTTTGGTGTGTTTTGGTCAGAATATATGACATTGTTTCTGACGTGTGTGTGTGAGTCCATCCACAGGGTTTATACATGTACGCGGTGCAGCTCTTTCCTGAGCACGTGCAGGAGTTCCTGGACCTGATGACAGAGAAGGAGCTCAGACAGAGTTCCCATGGAGGAGGTAGACATACTGCTCTAAAACTTTTCCCACAGTGCAACAGGGTCCTGGCTTCCTCACACACTACTGTGGACACCCATAAGTCGTGCACTGACCAATAGAACAACCAAGTCTCCTCAGGAAAAATAGCATTTTACTTTTCAAACAGATGTGTGAATAAATTATGTGTTACACATACACTGTATTATGTGTTAATTCAAAAATGTCCATATTTTGATTGAATTAAATATCTACTTTTATGTCAAGGACTTGAGTTTAAACTGATTTAAAAAATAGATTACTGTGTTCATTTAAAATGAATATTTTGTTTCCTAACACTGGTCTGTCAACCTTTATTTAAAAATAAGCTCTAAGCCTTTCACGCATTGTGAATCCTGAGGGATGCTTGTGTGCATTTCCTGCAGGATAACGACATCACAGCTTAATGGTGTGGAACGGAGCACACCTGAGTGTACACTTTAGAGTCAGGAGGGAAGGAGTGAGGAAACACAGACATGAGGGTAGAGAAGCTTTATATAGTCTCATTACTGCTTATCCTTCAGAGTAGTAGAGCATCCACTCTGGCTTTCCCAGGTGAGTCTGACATTTCTGATGACCTTTAACCCATTATAATGTGCCTCTGTGAGTTAACTGGATTGACCTCTCTACATGCTACTAACTATATTCTAAATTTCTACTTGATACATACTACTCCGGCTATGCTATGGTGATGTAGAATTTCATTAGTGAAATAAATGGTAACATGGATATTATGTAGTCTTGCTGATCCTATGTAGTTATTTCTCATAGCTGATAGCATTTTTTCCTGAAAGCAGATCAACAGAACTTTTCTCTTATATTTGAAAATAACTTCCATTCATGATGTTCTTTATTCTGATCACAGATAAAGAATGTAATGATGATGCATTTCCTTTCCGGGAAGACTGCGAGGTTGACACAGTGTGTGGAGAAGCTGTATGTCATCACAACCAGTATGTCACCTGCCATGTCAATCGCTGTGGCACCTGTGAACCTGTGTTCCGAGGCTATGACAACATCACTGTCAACTGCACCCAATGTAAGTGAGAGACCATCTTCTATAGTATTGGCACATATCTCTTATCTACAGTGGGATTTGCCTTGTATATCAGTATGATTTTAGACATGTAGGCTTGGACATAAATTAAGTGGTCAATGGTTTCCTTTGTATAAATCCACACACATTACTCTGTAGGCTATGTCTATCTGATATCTCCTCTGGGTGACCTGAGAGAGTAAGTTTTGAATGATACACTACCAGTCAAATATGTGGACACACCTAGTCATTCAAGGGTTTTTCTTTATTTTTACATTGTAGAATAATAGTGAAGACATCAAAACTATGAAATAACACATGGAATCATGTAGTAACCAAAAAAGTGTTAAACAAATCCAAATATATTTTATATTTGTGATTCTTCAAATAGCCACCATTTGCCTTGATGACAGCTTTGCACACTCTTGGCATTCTCTCAACCACCTTCATGAGGTAGTCACCTGGAATGCATTTCAATTAACAGGTGTGCAGGGGGTATACAGAAGATGGCCCTATTTGGTAAAATACCAAGTCCATATTATGGCAAGAACAGCTCAAATAAGCAAAGAGAAACGACAGTCCATCATTATTTTAAGACATGAAGGTCAGTCAATACGGAACATTTCAAGAACTTTTAAAGTTTCTTCAAGTGCAGTCGCAAAAAACATCAAGCGCTATGATGAAACTGGCTCTCATGAGGACCACCACAGGAATGGAAGACCCAGAGTTACCTCTGCTGCAGAGGATAAGTTCATTAGTTATCAGCCTCAGGAATTGCACTCCAAATAAATGCTTCACGGAGTTCATGTCACAGACACATCTCAACATCAACTGTTCAGAGGGGGACCGTGTGAATCAGGCCTTCATGGTCGAATTGCTACAAAGAAACCACTACTAAAGGACACCAATAAGAAGAAGAGACCTGCTTGGGCCAAGAAACACGAGCAATGGACATTAGACCGGGGAAATGTGTCCTAATTGTCCAAATTGGAGATTTTGAGTTTGAACCGCTGTGTCTTTGTGAGACACGGTGTGGGTGAACGGATGGTCTCCGCATATGTTGTTCCATCTGTAAAGCATGGAGGAGGAGGTGTTATGGTGCTTTGCTGGTGACACCGTCTGTGATTTATTTAGAATTCAAGACACACTTAACCAGCATGGCAACCACAGCATTCTGCAGCGATACGCCATCCCATCGGGTTTGGGCTTAGTGGGACTATCATTTGTTTTTCAACATGACAATGACCCAACACACTTCCAGGCTGTGTAAGGGCTATTTTACAAAAAAGGAGAGTGATGGAGTGCTGCATCAGATGACCTGACCTCCACAATCCCCCGACCTCAACCCAATTGAGATGGTTTGGGATGAGTCGGACGGCAGAGTGAAGGAAAAGCAGCCAACAAGTGCTCAGCATATGTGGGAACTCCTTCAACACTGTTGGAAAAGCATTCCAGGTGAAGCTGGTTGAGAGAATGCAAAGAGTGTGCAAAGCTGTCATCAAGGCAAAGGGTGGCTATTTGAAGAATCTCAAATATAAAATATATTTTGATTTTTTAAACACTTTTTTGGTTACCACATGTTATTTCATAGTTTTGATGTCACTATTATTCTACAATGTAAAAAATAGTACAAATTAAGAAAAAACCCTTGAATGAGTAGGTGTGTCCAAACTTTTGACTGGTACTGTACATGAAATTGGAAATATTTCATTATTTTACTCTTAATTAGTGACTCCCAAGTGTCGTCTAATACACCTGGAGATGTTGAGCAAGCACAGAATGGGGACCATGTTACCTGGGGGGAGTTCAGAGACAAAGTACCACCCAGACTGTGATGGAGCTGGTATGTTCAGACCTAAACAGTGCAGAGAGGAGGACGCCAACCTATGCTGGTGTGTTAACAAGGCTGGAGTCCCAGTCTCTGACAAGACGCATGACCCCCTCAAATGTGAATGGCTGGTCACAGTCCAGTGAGTAAAATCATGAAAACTATATTTTATTATTGTATTATTATTATATAATGTTTCTAAAATATATGCTAAGTGATCAATAATGATATGTTCTCTCTTTCATTTGTAGTGTCATTGATATTCAATTCGCATTTAAAGTGGCGTTCACACCTGTTGCAAAAACCATGGATGAGATACGAAGGTATGCGTCCTTCCTCTGTAGTAAGCCATTGATATGCATTTCTTATTAAATAACAATTTTATTGAAAAGTTATGTTGTCACGGCACCATTGTTGTTTCAGGCAGTTGGTGTTAAAGCTGGACAGGGAATATACACTGGATAAAACACAGATCTTAGACATAACTGTGAGTAAGCAGGCATGTTTCCTCAGATTATTGTTCGAGATTGAGTGTGAGAGAGATCTGTCTTTATGAATGTGCCATCTGTGCCGGTCGGCCCACTCCTCAGGTGCGGGAGCTGTACCAGGTAGTGTCCATCCGCCTGACTGACAACAGGACAGACAAAGAGCCAGTGGACATAGCAACTGTGGCCTACTACATTGAGAGAGATGTGAGACATTTTATTGTAAGAGCTGTATCTGCTTTCAGACCCTTCAAAAAGGCTTTGTTTGCTTGTAAAGTCATTGAATATCTCTTTGTAACATTCGATTCAAGGGCTCCATATTTTAAGAAATAATTCAAAGGAAATATTTTTTGTATAAAAGTCTGTTCAATCTGGCATGCCTGGTGCTAATATTTTGCTTTAACTATGCAGTGAAATGTAACTGTTTTGCCATCCCGTCTAGTTGAAAAGCAACACTTTTGGGTTTGAGGTGGACGGTTGGAGACTAGAGGTGGTGAGGGACTCCGTCAAGGTCCTATTCTTTCACTATGACCACCCACACATGGACATGATGACCATCAATCCAGGCGTTGCTGCCCTCATCATTGCTCTGGCCATTATCATTGGTGTTTCTGTATCTGTGAGTCTAAGAGCAAAATCACTTGTACACTAGATTCAGTACGATACCACTGCTACCCTCACGTCACAACTTCTTTCTCTCTCTTTGTCCATCACTATTGTCAGGCGGTGGTACGAAGGAAAGCTCTGCTGGAGAGAAGGAGATTCCAGTTTGAAGTCATTGAGGTATAGTCACTGGGAAGAAACAAAGACCGATACAGTAAACCCTTATGTATTGTCCTGTGTTTTACTCGCTCTTTTTAAATGCAGGTTCAAGGGCAGGACAACCACATGGAACAACAAGAAGCTACCATGACCTACTATGTTATGTGACATCGTACTTTAATATCTTTGTTGATTGTAGTAGATTTGTTTTCTCTTCATGTTTGTTTTTTTAGTTGTCACGCATTTCATTTATATGCAAAGTTGCCAAATTATCTCCTTCCCTGATTGAAACAATAGTCAGCTGTACATTATGGAAATATTGTAATTGGTTGATTTCTTAACATGGATTCTATCTTGTAGCTTTAATCAAATATTAAAACAAGAATGTACTTTATTTGAAATAAAAATCTGAACAGTTTCCAAAATTGTTTATTTGCTATTATTGTACTTCGAGGTGATACTTACAAGGTTATGGTAACAGACCATAACACAAGATTGTTCATTTGTTCAGAAAGCCAAATTTTATTGAACAGCTGCAGAATTGAATACCAAACAGCTGGCTACATCTAGTCCCAACTGTACAATGAACATGTATGAAAAGATGTACTACGTGATAAGTTTCTAAGCAGTAAGTGAAAGAATAGGACGTTGCTGAGGTGCGTTTCACCCCTGTGGTTAGAGGTATAGTCCCTCTGGTGTCCCTTCCTGTTTCTTGTACAACACGTTCTCCTTCGACTTCTTAAAGTCCTCGTTCGTCACCTTCATCCTGCGCTCTCTCAGAGCCATCAGCCCTGCCTCTGTACAAATGGCCTGAGATGAGAGAAATAAGTTAAACACTTCAGTGAAAATTCTTTGAGATGCCACAGGACTGCAGCAAAACCAGAACATTCAAATATAAAGAGGGGCATACAGTCTTTCTTTTGAGTATGCTGCATTTTCACAGTTAGTCTAATTACTATGTCCCAGCTGGTTGCTGTAACGTCAATACTGCACCTTGATGTCAGCTCCGGAGAGGTCATCCTTGGCCAGGATCAGTTCATCCAGGGTCACATCGTCTGCCACGGTCATCCTGCTTGTGTGGATCTGGAATATCCTTCGCTTGGTCTTCTCATCCGGCAGGGGGAACTCTATTTTACGGTCAATACGGCCTGAGGAGTGGGGGTGGGGGACACAAAAATATATACCAAATCAGAGGACATGCTCCTTGGGGTAATAAGATACTGTATCTCCAATCATTACTTGCTCAAAGTCAGGATTAATTTAGGTGGGCATAGCCTGCATTGTAATTTCCATTGAAGATTTGAAGTCGTATAATAATGTTATTGTGTACCTGGTCTGATGAGTGCGGGGTCCAGGGTCTCTATCCTGTTGGTGGCCATAATGACCTTGACATCGCCTCTGGAGTCAAAACCATCCAGCTGGTTAAGCAGCTCCAGCAAAGTCCTCTGGATCTCCCGCTCCCCTCCCGAGTTAGAGTCATACCTGCAGAGGACACATTACTCAGCACACACCCTCAACCACTGAGACACGCAATACTATTGTAGAGATTACCTCCTATACATGGAGGTTCATTGAGGTATACAAAACTTAGTACTGTAATCCAGTGCCGGTCGGTGCCGTTTAAGATGAGGCAGGACGTAATTTAATTTAATTTTTATTTCTATTACAGCATATTGGATGACTGTCATTCATATTCCATTCACCCAGCTCAATGTAACGGCTACTACATGATACTCAAATTTTCCCTATACCCATCATGAGGTTGCTAGAACCTAGCCTATGAATGAAAGTTTACAACGTAGGTGCACAGGTCGAGAGAAATTTTAGTAATCAAAGTGACACGTTCAATACCGCCTTGCACACTTGTAGTAATAATAATAAATTACGGCCCCCCGTAATAATAATAATAATAATAATGCCATTTAGCAGACGCTTTTATCCAAAGCGACTTACTGTCATGTGTGCATATTTTTTTTTTTTAAACGTATGGGTGATCCCGGGGATCGAACCCACTACCCTGGCGTTACAAGCGCCATGCTCTACCAATTGAGCAAGAAACTCTTGCCTGCCTCTAGCTGATCTAGGGTGTAATAATTTACATTTAAGTCATTTAGCAGACGGTCTTATCCAGAGCGACTTACAGTTAGTGAGTGCATACGTTATTTTTCATACTGACCCCCCCCCGTGGGAATCGAACCCACAACTCTGGCGTTGCAAATGCCATGCTCTACCAACTGAGCTACATCCCTGCCGGCCATTCCCTCGCCTACCCTGGACGACGCTGTGCCAATTGAGAGCCTGGATTCGAACCAGCTAGCACTGCGATGCAGTGCCTTAGACCACTGCGCCACTCGGGAGTTGACCCTGGATAACCATGTTCCTAACCCATGTCCGTATCCCAAATGGCACCCTATTCCCTACACAGTGCACCACCTTTGACCAGGGCCCATAGGACGCTGGTCAAAAGTAGTGCACTATATAGGGAATAGGGGGCCATTTGGAACACGCACTATATCTTCGGTTTAAGAAACATTTTTTCAACTGAATCGGCGGAATGAATACACCCCTGATCACACGCAAACACAGTTCACTTTCATAGCAGACACATACAAACAGCATTTACATTTTAGTCATTTAGCAGATGCTCTTATCCAGAGAGACTTACAGTAGTGAGTGAATACATTTTTCAAACCCTCAACCCTGGTATTACAAGTGCCATGCTCTACCAACTGAGCCACAAGGCATGATCCCTTTGATTTTTGTACAATTCCTTCTCGCATCTACACGCTCTCCTCCTCTCACCTTTTCCCTTCGCTTGTGGACTTCAGTGCATAACACATCAGCTGTCTATGACCAGGCAAAAAAAATATTTTAAGCCAAACCTTCATATCATAACTGCTAACCGCCACACACAGCCTACATCGTTGTCACCATATTAACGTCATCGCTACTAGAATTAACGCGTTAGTAAACCTGCTACAATCATGCAGTACAGGCGGGCCCCGGGGGGCAATAAATTAATTAAACCAAAAGTATACCTTGACTTGGAAGAGTTCCAGTGTTGGCTAGCCATAGCCAGCTTGCTAACATAGCATACCTCTCGGTTTGAGCCAGGTGTTTGAGTAGGCTAAACTAGCTAGCTGCATTTGCTAGCTAAGTAAGTGAAAGTAAAAAATATATATACAATAAAATATAGCTAGCGCTCTCTCTCTCGCTTCTCCTTCATTTTTGAAGAAATTAATTTGTTCAATAATTTTCCAACTATTGTCTTTCTCTTTGAGTCAACTACTCACCACATTTTATGCAGTGCTAGCTAGCTGTAGCTTATGCTTTCAGTACTAGATTCATTCTCTGATCCTTTGATTGGCTGGACAACATGTCAGTTCATGCTGCAAGAGCTCTGATAGGTTGGAGGACGTCCTCTAGAAGTTGTCATAATTACTGTGTAAGTATATGGAACGGGTTGAGAACCACGAGCCTCCTAGGTTTTGCATTGAAGTCAATGTACCCGGAGGAGGCCTGAAACTCGCTGTCCTACGGCTACACTATGGTGCTACCCTACAGAGTGGAAAACAGTGTTTTAATCAATTATTTGTTGACATGTGAATACATTTAGTATAGTTTTATATAAAAAGGATAACATTTTTCATGTTACACCATTTAAAAAACAATGAAATTCACTGAGGATGGTCCTCCCCTTACTCCTCTTAGGAGCCTCCACTACTGTAATCATATTGTGTCCACTGTACTGCTAATTCAATCATTAAGCAAAAGTAAAGCAAGCAAGTAAGCCTTGTCCGAGAACGGCCCTTAGGGCAGGAGCTTATCTCCTGTTTCTGTAGCGAGAGCCAACTTAATGTCGGCCTACCAGTACACTCCCTGGACATACAGAGATGCATCAAGGTTTTGGTATGACTTGATCAGGGATTGAACCCCCAACCTTCCAATCTCAAGGCAGACACTATGGGCATATATTGGGCGACCAACGGAAATTTGGGTGATGGCATGTCACAATTGATCAGAGTTCACATAGAGTGCCTTCAGAAAGTATTCACACCCCTTGACCTTTTCCACATTGTGTTACAAAGTGGGATTAAAATTGATGTAATTAAAAAAAAAAATTATAAAATAAAAAACACCAATACATCTTGATTAGATAAGTATTCCAACCCCTGAGTCAATACATGCTAGAATCACCTTTGGCAGCGATTACAGCTCTCTGCACTGATTACAGAGTATTTCTGGGTAAGTCTCTAAGAGCTTTGCACACCTGGATTGTACAACATTTACCCATTATTCTTTCAAAAATTCTTCAAACTCTGTCAAGTTGGTTGTTGATCATTGCTAGACAGCCAGTTTCAAGTCTTGCCATAGATCTTCAAGCCAATTTAAGGCAAAACGAACTACTCCACTCGGGAACATTCAATGTCGTCTTGGTAAGCAAATCCAGTGTATATTTGGCCTTGTGTTTTAGGTAATTGTCCTGCTGAAAGGAGAATTTGTCTCCCAGTGTCTGTTGGAAAGCAGACGGAACCAAGTTTTCCTCTAGGATTTTGCCTGTGCTTAACTCTATTCCATTTATTTTTATCCTAAAATGACATGCATACCCATAACATGATGCAGCCACCACCATGCTTGAAAATATGAAGAGTGGTACTCCGTGATGTCTTGTTTTGGATTTGCCCCAAACAACACTTTGTATTCAGGATTGCCAGGATTGCCATCTACCAATAGGTGGAATTCTTTGCAAACCATTGGAAAACCTCGCTGGTCTTTGTGGTTGAATCTGTGCTTGAAATTCACTGCTCGAATGAGGGACCTTACATATAATTGTATAATGTGGGGTACAGAGATGGGGTAGTCATTCAAAAATCATGTTAAACACTATTATTGCACAGAGTGAGTCCATGCAACTTATTATGTGACTTGTTAAGCACATTTTTACTCCTGAACTTATTTAGGCTTGCGTTAACAAAAGGGATGAATACTTATTGACTCAAGACATTTCAGCTTTTCATTTTTAATTAATTTGTAAACATTTCTAAAAACATAACTTCACTTTGACATTATGGGGTATTGTGTTTAGATCAGGGACACAACATCTAAATGTAATCCATTTTAAATTTAGGTTGTAACACAACAACATGTGGAAAAAGTCAAGGGATGTAAATACTTTCTGAAGGCACTGTAGGTCTCTGTGATTCAGCAACCAGGAAAATAAGGAGTGCTCAACAATATAAAAAACATTTAAAAAAGGTATTTAAGAAAAACTCACAATCGGAGCACTCAAAACACCACAGATAGATAGATATACAGTCAGGTCTATAATGATTGGCACCCTTGATAAAGATGAGCAGAAAATACTGTATAAAATAAATAATACAAATACTAACCTATATTGTATGCTCCCCTAAAATTGGGAAATAATATTATTTTATACTAATACAATTGCACAGAGAAGGTTTGTTTAACAAGTAATAAAACAAATCTCAAAGCTTCCACTGGTCCTGTTGCCCTTTTAAAAGGTCAAAGGTCAACGGCATCATTAACTTTACTAAGTACTGGGACATTTTAGCCAAAAACCTGGTTGCCTCTGCCAGGAGGCTGACACTTGGCCGCAAGTGGATTTTCCAGCAAGACAACCCCAAGCAGACATCAAAATCCAAAGAAATAGTTAATTGACCACAAAATCAACATTTTGCAATGAACATCTCAGTCTCCGGACTTGAACCCCAATGAAAACCTGTGGTCCATAAGCGCAGACAAAGGATATCAAGGATCTGGAAAGATTCTGTATGGAGGAATGGTCTAAGACCCTTCCCAATGTGTTCTCCAATCTCATAAAACATTTTAGAAAAAGGCTCAGTGTCATTATCCTCGCAAGGGGAAGGTGCTAGAGTATTGAAAACAGGGGTGGCAATAATTTTAACCTTTTTTAGATTTTTTAAAAATTATTAAACATAATTATTTATCTGAGCAATTGTTCAACAGATACTTATTGAAACCTTGGTACAGCAGTGAAGGGAACAGGGAGAGGACTGCGCCTAGGCCGAGTGTGGCCCCTATTAGCAGAACACACACTACCAGTCAAATGTTTGGACACCTACTCATGCAAGGGTTTTTCTTTATTTTTTACATTGTAGAATAATAGTGAAGACATCAAAACTATGAAATAACACATATGGAATCATGTAGTAACCAATAAAAGTGTTAAACAAATCAAAATATGTTATATTTGAGATTCTTCAAATAGCCACCCTTTGCCTTGATGACAGCTTTGCACACTCTTGGCATTCTCTCAACCAGCTTCATGAGGTAGTCACCTGGTAACAGGTGTGCCTTCTTAAAAAATACTTTGTGGAATTTCCTTCTTTCCTTCTTAATGCGTTTGAGCCAATCAGTTGTGTTGTGACAAGGTACACAGACGATAGCCCTATTTGGTAAAAGACCAAGTCCATATTATGGCAAGAACAGCTCAAATAAGCAAAGAGAAACGACAGTCCACCATTTCTTTAAGACATGAAGGTCAGTCAATACGGAACATTTCAAGAACTTTGAAAGTTTCTTCAAGTGCAGTCGCAAAAACCATCAAGCGCTATGATGAAACTGGCTCTCATGAGGACCGCCACAGGAATGGAAGACCCAGAGTTACCTCTGCTGCAGAGGATAAGTTCATTAGAGAGTTACCAGCCTCAGAAATTGCTGGTACTGTATGTTCTTGTTATTGCTAAGTAACGAAGGTAAACACAAGGACAACGGTCAAAAGACGAGGGTGGGGAGGGCACGGTTCCTGTTTTGCAAGCTACAGTGCATTTCAGAAAGTATTCAGACCCCTTCACTTTTTCCACTTCGTTACAGCATTATTCTAAAATTGATTAAATAACACTAAAATCTCATCAATCGACACACAATACCACATAATGACAAAGCAAAAACTGTAATTTTCTTTTTTTTGGTTGAAATGTACATTTACATTTTAGTCATTTAGCAGACGCTAAAAAATAAAAAACGAATACTTTATTTACATAAGAATTCTACAACTTGATTGGAGCACTTGTTGTAAATTCAGTTGATTGGACATGATTTGGAAAGGCACACACCTGTCTATATAAAAGGTCCCACATTTGACAGTGCATTTCAGAGCAAAAACCAAGCCATGAGGTCGAAGGAATTGTCCATAGAGCTCTAAGATAGGATTGTGTCGAGGCACATATCTGGGGAAGGGTACCAAAACATTTCTGCAGCATTGAAGGTCCCCAAGAACACAGTTGCTTCCATCATTCTTAAATGGAAGAAGTTTGGAACCACCGAGACCCTTCCTAGAGCTGGCCGCCCGGCCAAACTGAGCAATCGGGGAGAAAGGCCTTGGTCAGGGAGGTGACCAAGAACCCGATGGTCACTCTGACCGAGCTCTAGATTTCCTCTGTAGAGATGGGAGAACCTTCCAGAAGGACAACCATCTCTGCAGCACTCCACCAATCAGGCCTTTAAGGTAGAGTGGCCAGACGGAAGCCACTCAGTAAAAAGGCACATGAAAGCCAGCTTGGAGTTTGCCAAAAGGCACCTAAAGGACTCTCCAACCATGAGAAACAAGATTCTCTGGTCTGATGAAACCAAGATTGAACTCTTTGGCCTGAATGCCAAGCATCACGTCTGGAGGAAACCTGGCACCATCCCTACGGTGAAGCATTGGTGGCAGCATCATGCTGTGGGGATGCTTCTTTGGTATGACTGCACCGGGGATTGAACCCCCAACCTTCCAATCTCAAGGCGGACACTCTAATAAGGCCACTGAGTTTGTGCAATAGCACAATAACATATTTGCCAATAGGCAAATATTGGTTGAGTAAGCATTGTTTTCTGGTCATTTGGCATATGCCAACATAGTACTTAAGTAGTAGCTTTCATCCTAGATTTCAATCAAAAATAAACAACAGCGTTGTACCTAAGAATTTAGCCGTGATATATTGGCCATATACGACACCCCCGCGAGCCTTATTGCTTAATCAATTTTAAGTTAGTTGATAAACTAAACTAATATCTATGGAAATGTGTGTGTTGATAGGACTCCATGACTCAGCAACCAGGAAAATAGGAGGGGTGCTCAACAACAAGGTCTTACTCAAGAATAACTTGGCGTTGTAATTGCTAAATAACGGGGTGAAAACAAGGACATGGGTCAACAGACGAGGGTGGGGAAGGCATGGTTCCTGTTTTATGGTTTCTGTTTTGCAAGCTACAATTTTGCCTTTTCACTCTACAACTGTCACCTACAGTACATTCGGAAAGTATTCAGACCCCTTGACTTTTTCCACATTTTGTTACGTTACAGCCTTATTCATCAATCTACACACAATACCACATAATGACAATGGAAAAACAGGTTTTTAGAAAATATTGCAAATGTCCCACGACGCCAGGACAGCAGAGTCACTGACCACCTTCCGGAGACACTTGAAACCCTACCTCTAAAGAATTCCTGGAATAGTATAAAGTAATCCTTCCTCCCCACCCCCCATAAAAAAATAAAAATAAATAAAGTGGTTGTCCCACTGGCTATCATAAGTTGAATGCACCAATTTGTAAGTCGCTCTGGATAAGTGTGTCTGCTAAATGATGTAAATGAATTAAAAATAAAAAAACAGAAATATTACATTTACATAAGTATTCAGACCCTTTACTCAGTACTTTGTTGAAGCACCTTTGGCAGCGATTACAGCCTCAAGTCTTCTTGGGTATGACGCTACAAGCTTGGCACACCTGTATTTGGGGAGTTTCTCCCATTCTTCTCTGCAGATCCTTTCAAGCTCTGTCAGGTTGGATGGGGAGCGTCGCTGCACAGCTATTTTCAGGTCTCCCTAGAGATGTTCGATCAGGTTCATGTCCGGGCTCTGGCTGGGCCACTCAAGGACATTGAGACTTGTCCCGAAGCCACTCCCTGCGTTGTCTTGGCTGTGTGCTTAGGGTCGTTGTCCTGTTGGAAGGTGAACCCTCGCCCCAGTCGGAGGTCCTGAAAGCTCTGGAGCAGGTTTTCGTCAAGAATCTCTCTGTACTTTGCTCTGTTCATCTTTCCCTCAATCTTAACTAGTCTCCCAGTCCCTACCGCTGAAAAACATGGCCACAGCATGATGCTGCCACCACCATGCTTCACCGTATGGATGGTGCCAGGTTTCCTCCAGACGTAACTCTTGGCATTCAGGCCAAAGAGTTCAATTTTAGTTTCATCAGACCAGAGAATTTTGTTTCTCATGGTCTGAGAGTCCTTTAGGTGCCTTTTGGCAAACTCCAAGCGGGCTGTCATGTGCCTTTTACTGAGGAGTGGCTTCCGTTTGGCCTGATTGGTTGAGTGCTGCAGAGATGGTTGTCCTTCTGAAAGGTTTTCCCATCTCCACACAGGAACTCTGTCAGAGTGACCATCGGGTTCTTGGTCACCTCCCTGACCAAGGCCTTCTCTCTCGATTGCTCAGTTTGGCCGGGTGGCCAGTTCTAGTAAGAATCTAGGTGGTTCCAAACTTCTTCCATTTAAGAATTATGGAGGCCACGGTCTTCTTGAGGACCTTCAATGCTGCCAAATGTTTTTGGTACCCTTCCCCAGATCTGTGCCTCAACACAATCTTGTCTCGGAGCTCTACGGACAATTCCTTCGACCTCATGGCTTGGTTTTTGCTCTGACATGCACTGTCAACTGTGGGACCTTACCTAGACAGGTGTGTGCCTTTCCAAATCATGTCCTATCAATTTAAATTATCACAGGTGGACTCCAATCAAGTTGTAGAAAATTATCAAGGATGATTAATGGAAACAGGATGCACCTGAGCTCAATTTCGAGTCTCATAGCAAAGGGTCTGAATACTTTTTTAAATTTTATTTTTTACCTTTATTTATACAGGTTTTTCTCATTGAGATAAAATCTATTTTTCAAGAGAGACCTGGTCTAACAGCAGCAGGGGGAACAAAGTATCAGACAAAACAACTTACATACACTAACACAACATTGAACAAATCTATAGCCACACATACAGTACAACAATTACAAAAATGTCTAAAAACCTGTTTTCGCTTCGTCATTATGGGGTATTGTGTGTAGATTGATGAGAAAAATGTTTTATTTAATCAATTTTAGAATAAGGCTGTAAAGTAACAACATTTGGAAAAAGGGAAGTGGTCTGAATACACTATGTTAATGATGCAGATGGTTTGCACCCGGTTTATGTAAATTAGTTTGTGGTTAACGAAACAGACCAATTAGCGTGCAACAAGTACAACTCATCCCTGAACCCAGAGTATAAATAAGATGAGTGTGCCTCTCGAGTGTCTCCAGAAGCTGACAAACAAGCTGACGAAGTATTGACAAACTTGAAGCCCTGCCTAGTGTCATCTCTGAGTCCGGTCCAGCCTTCAGCAGAAATGATGTACTGTTCTCTTCTGCTGATGATCCCTCTCCTGATGGCGCAACACATGTCCTGTACAAACCCTTCACTTCTGGGTAAGGCTCCAGAAGTTTCCAAGAGAGAGAAGTTACTAAGAGATAGGTCCCTTTACATCGGCAGAAGCTGCCAGGAAATAAGGGAGCACTATTTTGAATTTGAAGACGGGCTGTACTACCTGACCACAGAGAACGGGGTGGTGTACCAGACCTTCTGCGACATGACCACAGACGGCGGCGGCTGGACACTGGTGGCGAGCGTACACGAGAACAACATCTATGGGAAGTGCACGCTGGGTGACCGTTGGACAAGCCAGCAGGGCAGCAACCCCCTTCGGCCAGACGGGGATGGCAACTGGGTCAACATGAACACTTTCGGAACAGCTGAAGGCGCCACTGCTGATGATTATAAGAATCCTGGCTACTATGACATCAAGGCACAAGACATGTCGGTGTGGCACATTCCCAACAATAAACCGATGAAAGACTGGAACCCCACCGCCATCCTGCGCTACCACACCGAGACACGCTTCCTGAGCCAATATGGGGGAAACCTGTATCAACTCTACCACATGTACCCAGTGAAGTACAACATTGGGGCACCTCTGATTAACAATGGACCCTCGATTCCCATAGTTTATGACCATGGGAACAAAGAGACCACCAAAGCGTTTTACGGCCCTCTCCCTCAAAGGGAGTTTGAACCAGGCTTCATCAGTTTCAGAGCAATTAATAGGGAACGGGCAGCCATGGCCATTTGTTCTGGGACCAAACCCAAAGGCAGTCAGGTTGATGCGTACTGTATTGGTGGTGGTGGGCATTTCCCTGAGGCGGCCCCAAAACAGTGTGGGGACTTCACCTCCTTTGCCTGGAATGGCTATGGGACCCATATAGGCTGGAGTGCATCAAAAGACATGCTTGAGGCAGCTGTGTTACTCTTCTACCGCTGATGGCCAGGCCCATTTACTTTCTACAGTAATTTTGTCAATTATATTACTGTAAACTAAAGCAATACTATAAAAACAGGGGTCTCCAACCTTTCCAAGCATGAGAGCTACTTTATATTTTTATTTTACTTGTCACAAAAAAAAATTTATTCTAGCTTTCAAATAGGCACATTCATCCTCTCCCCTGCAACTCTCAAAGTAGTGCACTGTTTTCTGTCAATATACCTGATAGAATAATGGTTAAAAAACAACTCTAAGGGGGGCCCTATAAAATCTGATTTTATCCCCAAATTATGTTTTATATTTTACCAAATTATGTTCAGTTTAATTTCCTGGTTTTAGAAAAAAATTACAATTTTTCATAGAGAAACAACAAAATTGGATGTTCTGAATCCACGTTAATGCTTAAATCATATTTAGATTTGAGTGCAATTCCCCTTTAACTGCGCATCTAGCGAGTGAGGAATGCCCTGTCTAATGTGCCAGTTTAGCAATGGTTCTGTACTGCTGCTGCTCATTTCATGGCAAAGTTTGCAAATAACAAATAATAGATACAAATTATATACTTACTCATGATATACTTTCTGCCAGGTAAGCCTACTTTGCAGTTAGCATATAATTGAGAAGGTTATGGAGAAAGTATTTCTGTCAACCCACAAGATGGTTATCACATCAACTGACTACACACGGAGTGATAGACAAACGCGCACACAGACAGATAGAGGAAATATTGCTGGAAATTAATTGGCAGATAGTGTTAGGTTTTTCTTTTTAATACAATAATCGATAACCAGGGGTGGGATACTGTCAATGTTGCATTGAGTAGATAGCAACTGGGAGCTTGCGGTGTCTGATACTTGTGAGATTTGTTTATGACAGTTTGCGGTGGAACATGTGAAAATTACATGTACTTTCAGAATTGTTTGGCGAGCTACTCATAAGTGGGCTGCGAGCTACTGGTAGCTCGTGATTCACCTGTTGAAGACCCCTGCTATAAAACAATAACTATTCAGTACCATCACATGTGAAGATGTGTGCCTTATATAATCATTAAGTTGCTGATATTGTGATGCCATCTTGATGCCAAAATTATGATTAGCATCAACTTTCTACTTGCTCTAGGCCAGCCCAGGATAATGTAAAACCCTTAATGACAACTGTTGTATTTAGGAGGATGGCAGTTGGAAAGTGGGTTTGTGTGTGCTTGTTTGCATTTTTTCCCCACTGTGCAATAATGTAACAATAAAGTAGTCTATAGATTTGTGAACATGAAATGAGCATACTGTATTTTTTCATTATAAATTATGATGAACTCCTCATCAACATAAGACACATACTCTGCACACAACCTCAATGACCATGGTCTGAAAACCACGCTAGCCTTGCCTTTTAGTCCCGATGGCGTCGATCTCATCGATGAAGACGATGGAGGGCGCGTGTTCCTCAGCCACCCTGAACAGCTCTCGGACCAGCTTGGGCCCATCCCCCAGGTACTTCTGGATTAGCTCAGAGCCCACCACACGCAGGAAAGTTGCTGACGTCTGGTTAGCCACTGCCTTGGCCAGTAGGGTCTTCCCTAACACACCATAAGAACAGTGTCAAACTATGGCACTTTTAGAGGCGGTTTGCAGAAGTAGTTTTGGACTACAAAGCAAGTTCAACAGAGAATCTCCCTTAAAGGCTTTTTAGTCCAGGATTAGGCTTAAAGGGGCAATCAGCAGTTGAAACTATAACAAAGTGTTTCGGTATAAAGCTGAAGGATGGGGCTGAAGAAATGTAACCACCCTTAACTTCATAGACAGAGCTATGGACTGACCATCCATGATATCAAAATTATAGTTTTAACCATGTTGAGGCTATACAGTGTTTGTTTACATTTACCTTGTTTACAAACATTGGAGTAAAAAAAAGCTAATATTTTGGGTTCTGATGGGGTACTACAGTTGAACTAAGTCCATGTGGCGTTTGTAAGTTATATTCTTCAAGAATCAATGGGAAAATATCATTACTTTATAACTCCGAAAATGAATGTAGCAACTGCAGATTGACCCTTTAATCTGTACACAGGAAAACACCCCTTTGAGTATTACCAGAGAAAATACATATCCAAATGCTGTTCGGTCTTAATTTTTCCCCACAATTGTTTTAGTTGTTTTACCTGTCCCTGGTGCGCCATACAGAATGACTCCTTTAGGAGGTTTGATGCCCATCTCTTCATAGTACTCTGGATGGGTCAAAGGGAGCTCCACAGACTCCTGAGAGGAACACAGCGAACCACAAGTACAATTGTCAATTAGGAAAAATGGTTACCATGTGTTTGATATCGTTCCATATAAGCCATTACAATGACTCTGTCCTCCAATTTAAAGTGACACTGGCCTCCACATATCCAGCTGTATTAACATGAACTTTTGCAGTGTACTCTACTTCTCTACCTTAATTTCCTGGATCTGGTTATCCAGTCCACCAATGTCAGCGTATGTCTCCTGTGGGGCTTTCTCCACCTTCATCACCGTCACCAGAGGATCAGTGTCATCCATTAGGACCCCAATGACGGCATGGACCTGTGAACACACACGTCACTCAATGGCAGTGTACAGTAAATATCAGCTTTTCAATGAATGCTTTGCCAGAGTCAGGGCAACAGCCAAACACAGCTTAATGGCAGACTCCGTCAGTAATGGCAGACTCAGTCAGTACCTTGTGGTTGAGAAGGACGGAGCAGCCTGGCTCCAGCAGGTCCTTGTCTACAAAGGAGAGGATGCTGACATAGTGCTCAGAGCCCACAGACGTAGAAACGATGGCGTGGTTGTCATCGATGATCTCCTCCAGGTTCCCCACTGACATGGGGGTTCCTCTCAGATCATCTACCTTTGACCTCTCCTCCTGCAGGACAACAGAGGATGGATTAATTAATTAATATTTAGATAAAAAGGTACAGTGTGAAGGCTTTATAGTGTTATAGTTTATTTATTTTAGTTTATAGTGTTATAGGCTTTATAGGGATGCATTTAGAGATCGACTGATAAACATTTTTACTGATAGACTACATACTGTTCATATGGTCCTTTTTTTATGCTGCCTGCACATTAAGTGCCTTTGGGGAACAATAAAGATCAAGGCTTTTTAATTGATTTTCTAGTACACTACCTCCTGTTTCTCCTCAAGGGGCTTCATCTGTTCCTGGTTCCTGATAAACTCCTCCTCCATCAGCAGGTAGTCTTTGATCCTCTCCTGCTTCAGCAGCTTCAGCCTGCAGTGTGTGTGGGGAGTTACTGAGAGAGAGGACAGAGGGGAGAGAGGACAGAGGGGAGAGAGGACAGAGGAGAGAGATAGAGAGAGAGAGCGAAATCAGTCAGTTGTATGTAACGGGTAAATTGTCTGGGAAAACAGCAGTTGTAAAATTGTAAACAGCAGTCTGTTGCAGTTTACAATTCAACATCAGTAGGTAGAAAGGATCTCTGCCATGACAGTGAAAAGTATAAAGTTAAATGTAGCCCAACTAACTTACCAAGAGGTAGCTTGCTGGCAGCATCAGGTCCCTTGCTCTTCTTCTTCCTCTTCCCAACCCTGGTGGGGATTGGTGGTTCATATTTCTTTTTCTTATCCTGAACAGTCCAGCAAAAGTTACAGAACAGTGTGACTGCTTATCAAACAAAAAGAGTCGGTGTGTATCAAACTGGTTAGATTAATATTCACGTTTTCACAAGGTTGGCCTTAGTGTTATTATCAACATTAGATAGGTACTAGATTGAAACAGAGTAGCAAGCTAGCTAGCTACTAGTATGGATTATTTACCTTGTCGTCTTTTTTTCCTCCCCCGGGTCCATGTCCTCCACTCTGACTTTGACCCTGTCAAATAAATCACATATCGGACACACAGTGAAGATGCACTTAGCTAGTAACAGTAGCTGGATTTCAAAACTATAACAAATTGCTAGCCACAATCTACCTAGGTAGCTAACATGTTTCCACTGGCTGCAAATGGCAGATTGGAGTTAAAATACAGCAAACAAGTCCAACAAAATATGACAGTTTAGAATGTGATCCTAAATTAAGTAAAAAAGTGATTAAATCCTTTAAAATTCTAGAAATAATGAATTGGAGAAACTGCTGGCTCACCATAGCTTGCTATCCGGTCTGTCAGCGTCGCTCACGTAATACGTCATAGTATGGCAAGCGAAGCGCATCAAAATGAAGAAAAACCGACCATATGAAAACTGAGGGAAACCCTGTCGTGGCAGTTTTTTGTGACAACCAAATCAATGGTGAAGACACTGTGGCCAGGACATACAAAGCTATCAATAAGTGAATCTTCATGGAGATTCATTTGCATTTCAAACCAATTCCAACACATCCAACCAGGCCTTTAAACATTGTAAGTACATTCAATCGGCTCATGAAGCCTATCATCCGCTACAAATGGGTCTTGGCTAGAAGGGATACAGCCTTTGTCAAATTGAGGTCAAAGGTAGATTTGTTTAGCATTTTAGCTAACCCAACCCTTTTCCTAACCTTAACCTAATTATCTTAACCTGTTACGTTAACTCTCCTAACCTGCTGGGTAAGTTCTCCTAACCTGCTACGAAAAGTCAAATCTGACTAAATCTGTATCCCATCTAGTCAAAGTCCTGCAAATGGTGGAGACCTCCCAGTGAACAAAATTAAGGAGAAAATATGTTTTTTAGACAACTCTTCCAGATGTTGAAATTAGGTACATTTTCGGTTCTGAATTTAAGTTGAAAATACATATTTTCCGGACGTTGAAAATTAGTTTTTTTCTGGACATAGAAAAACCGTATTTTCCGGACATTGAGAAGACATCTTCTACAGAAGAGGTATTTTACAGACGTTGAAAATACGTCTTTTTTTGGTCATTGTTTCTAAGGCCAAATTTCAACTGTATACATGTCAATGAAGAAAGCATTATATCACATTCCATTTTTTTTTCAATGAAAATAGAAAAATTGAGCAAACTGAAGATTGCAGAATGGAATCTGGTTGCCAATATAGTGAGTAGAGATCCCAAAAACGACCATATTGTTCGATTTGGTATAGAAGCGTGAAAATTGGCACACTCTCAACAGAACCTGATATAGTGCTATTTCAGCAAAGCCTCGGGTCGGCCTGTAGCGCCCCCTATAGTTCAATTGTGGAAATGCATTTGCCTGCTTTTTACGTTTTGGGTCATGGCTTCCCTTGTGTTGGGTCGACATGGCCCCAAAATAGCGTTACATGTTTGTATTGGCTTGGGGAACACATTTAATCAACAACCAAAACCATATGGTCTTTGCTTTTATCTTGATGATCACAACAATGATGAAAAGTCATCAGAAATCGCAGTAAAAATTTTATATTCTCACTTTCAAAGTGGTGTATTAAATAAAAAGTTACCTTTTTGTAAGTATTCCTTGAAGTCTACTGTTTACAAATTATATATATATATTTTGTTACATTACAACTTTATTCTAAAATTGATATAATAGTTTTTCCCCTCATCAATCTACACACAAAACCCAATAATGACAAAGAAAAAAACAGTTTAAACATTTTCACAAATCTATATTTAAAACAAATACAGAAATTAGTCTTCTTGGGTATGATGCTACAAGCTTGGCACACCTGTATTTGGGGAGATTCTCCCATTCTCTGCAGATCCTCTCAAGCTCTGTCAGGTTGGATGGGGAGCGTCGCTGCACAGCTATTTTTAGGTCTCTCCAGAGATGTTCGATCAGGATCAAGTCCAGGTTCTGGCTGGGCCACTCAAGGACATTCAGGGACTTGTCCCGAAGTCAATCCTGCGTTGTCTTGGCTGTGTGCTTAGGGTCGTTGTCCTGTTGGAAGGTGAACCTTCACCCCAGTCTGAGGTCCTGAGCACTCTGGAGCAGGTTTTCATTAAGGATCTCTCTGTACTTTGCTCCATTCATCTTTCCCTCAATCCTGACTAGTCTCCCAGTCCCTGCTGCTGAAAAACATCTCCACAGCATGATGCTGCCATCCCCATTCTTCACCGTAGGGATGGTGCCAAGTTTCCTCCAGACGTGACGCTTGGAATTCAGGCCAAAGAGTTCAATCTTGGTTTCATCAGACTAGAGAATCTTGTTTCTCATGGTCTGAGAGTCCTTTAGGTGCCTTTTGGCAAACTCCAAGTGGGCTGTCATGTGCCTTTTGCTGAGGTGTGGCTTCCGTCTGGCCACTCTACCACAAAGGCCTGATTGGTGGAGTGCTGCAGAGATGGTTGTCCTTCTGGAAAGTTCTCCCATCTCCACATAGGAACTCTGGAGCTCTGTCAGAGTGACCATCGGGTTCTTGGTCACCTCCCTGACCAAGGCCCTTCTCCCCGATTGCTCTGTTTGGCTGGGCGGCCAGCTCTAGGAAGAGTCTTGGTGGTTCCAAACCTCTTCCATTTAAGAATGATGGAGGCCACTGTTTTCTTGGGGACCTTCAATGCTGCAGACATTTTTTGGTAAACTTCCCCAGATTTGTGCCTCGACACAATCCTGTCTCTGAGCTTTACAGACAATTCCTTCGATCTCATGGCTTGGTTTTTGCTCTGACATGCACTGTCAACTGTGGGACCTTATATAGACAGATGTGTGCCTTTCCAAATCATGTCCAATCACGGTATTTCCATATTTTTAATTTTTTTTTATACATTTGCAACAAAAAAATGTAAACCTGTTTCACTTTGTCATTATGGGGTATTGTGTGTGATTGATGAGATCATTATTTAAAAAAAATCTATTTTAGAATAAGGCTGTAACGTAACAAAATGGGGAAAAAGGGGTCTAAATATTTTCAGAATGCACTGAATGTATATATATATGTGATTGTGTGGGGGTGCTTTGCTGGTGACACTGTAGGGGATTTATTTAGAATTCAAGGCACACTTAACCAGCATGGCTATCACAGGATTCTGCAGCGATACGCCATCCCATGTGGTTTGGGCTTAGTGGGACTATCATTTGTTTTTCAACAGGACAATGACCCAACACACCTCCAGGCTGTGTAAGGGCTATTTGCCCAAGAAGGAGAGTGATGGAGTGCTGCATCAGATGACCTGGCCTCCACAATCACCCGACCTCAACCCAATTGAGATGGTTTGGGATGAGTTGGACTGCAGAGTGAAGGAAAAGCAACCAACAAGTACTCAGCATATGTGGGAACTCTTTCAAGACTGCTGGAAAAGTATTCCAGGTGAAGCTGGTTGAGAGAATGCCAAGAGTGTGCAAAGCTGTCATCAAGGCAAAGGGTGGCTATTTTGAAGAATCTCAAATATAAAATATATTTTGATTTGTTTAACACTTGTTTGGTTACTACATGATTCCATATGTGTTATTTAATAGTGTTGATGTCTTCACTATTATTCTACAATGTAGAATATAGTAAAAATAAAGAAAAACCCTTGAATGAGTAGGTGTGTCCAAACCTTTGACTGATACTGTATGCATACTGTACGTCCCCTGTCTATTGCGAATGATGAATAACATTTCATTTGAACTTACTCTACCTGTTGTACGCAGATTTCGTCCTTTTGTGGGTAGAAATTTGAGACAAAGTATCCACAGCCCAATTCTGATCTATTGCCCAATTATTGGTCTTTTGACCAACCAGATCAGATATTTTGCCGATAACTGGACAAAAGATCAGAATTGGGCTTCCTGTGTAAACGCAGCCAATAAGTATTTTTCCCGTTCCTAAAGGAGTAATAAAGGCCTAGTTCACTAATTTGGTGAAACATTTTAATTTTTAATTTTTTGTTATTTAGTAAATTTTCGAATTATCAGGGGGTGCTGCAGCACCCTGTCACGGTTTCGGCCGAGGCTGCTCCTCCTCCTTGTTCGGGCAGGTTTCGGCGGTCGTCGTCCCCGGAGTACTAGCTGCCACCGATCTATGTTTCATGTTCGTTTGGTTTTGTCTTGATGTTGTACACCTGTGTCTAGTTAGTCCTCATTAGTGTCCTATTTAGTTCTCGTTGTGTGTGTATGGTGTTGTGTGTGATTGCTCTACTGTTTGGTGTTCTGAGCTACGTATCTTCCCTCCGTTGTTTGGAGAGGTTTTCGCACATGTTAGTGTGCCTTTTGTTTGACGCCTGTGTGCGCCTTTATTTCGCCTCCGGGCTTATTGTTCTCGTGTACTACGTGAATAATTCACTAAAGTCTTTTGGACTTAGCTTCTGCGTCCTGCGCTTGATTCCTGCACCATACCCACCTTCAGCACCCCTGACAGAATCACACACCTTTATGAATGGAATCAGCAGGAGCAACAGTCACGCCTGAGTCGCTGGAGGAGCATGTCCGCGGCCAGGATGACCAGATCAGACAACTGGGGACCGCTCTACAGGACGTCATCAACACCCTGCACCGATGGGAGTCCAGAGGGGTACCCACACCTCCACCTACCCTGCCACCCCCATCGGCCGGTCCACCAGTCCCAGGTCCGGAACCCAGTGGGATTCGGCTCTCGCTCCCGAGGGCGTATGACGGAACAGCTGCCGGGTGTCAGGGTTTCCTCCTGCAGGTGGAGCTCTACCTGGCCACTGTACACCCGGTGCCCTCGGGACACGAGAGCGTTTCCGCCCTCATCTCCTGTCTCACGGGCAAGGCGTTGGAATGGGCCAACGCCGAGTGGAGGAGGATGGACGCCACCACCATCTCCTACGCCGAGTTCTCCCGTCGCTTCAAGGCCGTGTTCGACCATCCACCTGAGGGCAAAGCGGCGGGGGAGCGTCTATTCCACCTGCGACAGGGGAGGAGGAGCGCACAGGCGTTCGTGCTGGAGTTCCGGACTCTAGCGGCAGACGCAGGGTGGAATGAACGGGCCCTCATCGACCATTTTCGATGTAGCCTACGGGAGGACGTTCAACGTGAGTTGGCCTGCAGGGACACCAATTTCACCTTCGACCAGTTGGTCGATATGTCCATCCGTCTGGACACCCTGCTGGCCACCCGTGGACGTCCCGAGTGGGGTCCGTCCATTCCACCCTCCGGCACCTCCGAGCCGAGCCCTATGGAGCTCGGGGGTGCTGGCGCTAGAGGAAGGAGGAGGAGGAGCCCGAGGGGGCCTGTCCCCTGCACCAAGTGCGGTCGTGGAGGGCACACTGCGGCCAGGTGCTGGGGAGGGTT